TTATTCTCGGGACTGTTTGAAAAGTAAACACTTGATATGTGGAAAAAAGTCAAATATAAAAAAAAACTCTTCTTTTAAGTTTGTTTTTTCCCTTTGTCTCTGTGTACAGAACCTTCGAGTATTTAAGAGATGAAGGTGTAGTGCATGCCATCTAATAAAGGGAGTCCCCACCGCTAAGTGAAGACACAGACTGCAGGAAAAAGCTGTTGTGTTTTCAGCCTGGCCTACTTCAATTGTCCTTGATGGCATGCCAACTTTAGCTTATATTGAAGGTTGGAAAAGCACACACTTTTTTTACTGTCCTTTGACCTTTTCTGTTCTGGTGATCCTGCGGTGCAGAGCAGTGAAACAAAATATATATACATTACTGAAATATTATGCAATAAATGGCAACCACAGCTAGCTTCAGTGGATTTGCATTATGTCTGAATTAAGCCGATTCAGCAACATCAGTAAGTATCAAATGCATACAAACTTTTTTCCAGGCACAACTAATCCCTTTTGCCTGAAAGAACTTTAAAACAATGGAAGAGAGGAGAGCGATTTGGGGAATAACACCCCGACTGTGAGAGGGCTCGAGGGGTCAAAGGGTCACAGGGTTAGGGATCATTAGGGGCATCTGTGGGCTGACAGGCTGACATAAAGCTGCAGCAGGTCTGACGTATATTTTTTGTGATGCAGTGGATTTAATTGAAATGTTTGTTTGTTTGTTTCTGGTGTAATGATTATCGGTAATGAGCATGTGTGTGTAACTCTGCAAGAGACATTTTACGGAAAAAGGGAAATGGAGCAACATGTATTGATTCTTCACTGAAAATATTACAAAATGCACAAAATGCTCTGTCAGCAGTTCTACTCGACTTGTTAACTGGTTGTGGAGTCGTCAGAAATGCATGCTGTTGAGTTCAAAATGAGGACATTGTTTCTTTGTCACCAGTAGAATGAAAGATAAACTTCCTACGGGCTGTAATAAACAAATATCTATGTAGATTTCAAAGTAAACGGTCAAAAAAGCCTTTGATACATCTAGCTAAATCTGTAGAGGCTGATATTATTGAATGAGCAGAAAAATACCTAATCAGAAACAAAAGATTAATCACATCTGTATTTCTTTTAAAACATGTCTGAAGAGGATCGTTGGGGATCCATATCAATATGTTTGTTTATGTCATGAAATTAGGTAAAAAAAAAGTAGACAATACAATGTTGTTGACAATACATGTTGTACGGAGGGGTTTTCTGGAGCAGCAGCATCTCCCCTGCTGACAGGAGGAGACTCAACAGACCGGTGAAGAAGATCTGTCCTGGGACCCCCCTCAAACCAGAGGAGGCGGTGGGAGACAGGGGGGTGAGGGCTCAGCTATCATCCCTGATGGAGATAATGTCCCACGCAGGATACTGAGCATTGGTGCAATTAGTTAAATGTCACTTTTTATTCCGTCTACTATAAATATATATATTGTTTACCTATTATATCTCGAACTTTACTCCCTATTGTTACACTGTCGCTTAGCTGCTGTAAAAGTGAAAATGTCTCCCTTGTGAAACAAATATAGGATGATCTTTTCTTGCACCCGTTTGTAACAAAGCATGATATTGAAATATAAGTTGCAATTTAACCAGACAGAGAGACAAAAAGATATCATATCTTGTTGAATATTCAATTGCTCTTTAACTCTTTGTCCCCCTAACTATATGCAACAGGTTTTCTATTATCCAACACCATTTATTCCTGAGGAAAATCGGTTTGCAGCAGTTGCAGTACAGATTAGGAAATAAAAGTGTACATGAAGGTGCACAATGGGGATCACAAAAGGTCAATCAAAAATAAAAAGGTATAATGTCTTTTAGATATGTATGGCATGTAGCATATAGCTTCTGGGTGTATGCACAGTATCCAATCTCAAGTAAAGCCTTGTAAGTGTATGTGGTTTATATGATAAATAATGTCAGCACTCATTGTATTGGCACCCCCCCCGCATGCGAGCCGAGGCCTTCAAAAAGGCTGGTGCACATCTTCACATCGGCTGCCTGTGTGTGTGTGTGTGTGTGTGTGTGTGTGTGTGTGTGTGTGTGTGTGTGTGTGTGTGTGTGTGTGTGTGTGTGTGTGTGTGTGTGTGTGTGTGTGTGTGTGTGTGTGTGTGTGTGTGTGTGTGTGTGTGTGTGTGTGTGTGTGTGTGTGTGTGTGTGTGTGTGTGTGTGTGTGTGTGTGTTGCACACCAAATTCCTCAGATGCAGAGCGGCAGAAAGGGCAGTGGCCCCACTTCACCAGAGGTGCAAGAGGGGGGATGGAGAACAGAGTGGAGGGGAGAAAGCCAAATGATGGGCTGAACAGGTGGATGTCTTCACTGGATATCAACAGAAACACCTGCACCGTCTTTATTCCTCCGCCAGGTCAGTGTCAGGTTTTCCACAAGGCTGGATCCTGTCCTCCAGAGTAGCTGAAAAAACATATTTGGGGGCTCAGAGGGAAACTAAACTAAAAACTAGCTTAAACATGAGGTTAAAGTTTATTCTTGACCTCAGAGACAGTGGTAGCTGCTGCAGGCGTTCATTGGCAAGAGGATTGCAGTCTGTTGTCATTTAATTAGATTTGCAAATGTATATATTTTTAATTTGGAAAACACACCACAAGGAACAAGAGATAAAATAGGAGTTAAAAAGGACAGACAGAGAGGCTGCCAAATACACATCTATCACAGGCCCGGTTCTACGGGGGTGCAACCCTCAGTTGAGTTGTTATGCACCCTCACTTGAAAAATGAAAAGTGAAAAAAAAAAAAAATGAAAAGTGAAAAATATTACATATATAATAATAGTAGTAATAATAATAATAAGAAGAATTTAGTTGAAATAAAAGAAATTGTAATTGTGGTTAAATAACATTGTCTGCTGCATTTATTTGGTCAATTTAAACGGTAAGTAACGTTATTATGTCAGGTGTGCGTGACCAGTGCCGCTGAGCGTTCGTCATCTGCAAGGTGCTTACACAGCAGTCAGTGATGGACATCAGAAAATGGTTAAAACAACCAGCCCTTATCGCCAGCAGTAACACTGCATCTACTGCAGGTAATAACAGTTCAGATCATGGGGACATTACGTTACCCGCGGCCACTGTCGTGGACACTAACGCCCGCCTCGCCGGCTTTGCCCGCCTCGCCCACGGAGGCGGAGCAACCGCAGCCGTCTTCGTTGCCCCAAACACCGCCACCCCTCAGCGGCCCGCAAGTGCCAGAGGACCTCGGCAAAACAGAGACTGCCCAGGTATATTTAAAAAAGTACCCAACTCGCCTGTACAGTGGGGTAAGGCGCTCATTTTGCAGCTCATGGTTTCAAAACAGAGATTGGCTGGAATATTCATGTAAAAAAGATGCCATCTTCTGCTATGCATGTAGACATTTCGGTTCAAGTAAGTCAGATGCCTTCAACACAACTGGCTACAACAACTGGCGCCATGCTCTTATAGGCTACGTGATAAGGGACTGGGAAGGCATGAATCAAGCAAAGAGCACATAGATCCATAGATCTCTTAATGTTGCTCTCAAAGTGCACCAGATTGATGCTTTTAACTTCAATATTTAAAAAAAAATCTTCCCGGGGAAGCATGCCCCCGGACCCCCCTAGAGGAGGTGAGGACCCCCCTAGAGGGTGTTAGGTCCACTCCCCACTTATAAAAATAGCACTTTACCACTGCACCCTCTCTAATCTCAGATGCACCGAGTCATTTTGTTCTGAAACCGGGCCTGATCTATCAATAACTTATGATAATTGTGTCTCTAAAAATAACCAGTCTCTCCGCCCTGTTAATGATATAAATGTGTCTTCCTTTCTCACAAACAGTTTGGGGCTTTATTGCCTGGATAACATCACCCTGCTGTGACTATAAACAATATCATTAAATAGTTCTCAAACGGTTGACCCAGTGGAAGCAGGAAGAGATACAGTTAGGTGATGGTGCACACAACCTCCACTGATCACAATAAAACCGTTTAGCGTTAACATCCCCTCGATGCAGATCTCAGCACGTCTCAGTCCCACTGTTGCCACTCAGTCCGGACCCTCCTGTGAAACCACCCAACCACCTCCACTCTGGAGGTCACGATCACATCCTGGTGCAGCAGCGATAGCGATCTTAATCACCCCGCAGGGAGCAGCCCAGGCTCCACCTCTCGTCTCTCTGGGGCGGCGTCAGATCACCACCAGGAGGCCCCGCCTACTTTCTGCAGACTGGGCCGGGGTCGCAGCCCTCACCTTTGCCCCAAATGAGCAGACTCAGCTCAGGAAAACAAGTTAAGTTAATTAAACCGAAAATATTTTCTATATATAAGTAGTGCGTCTGCAAAACAAAAGACTGGATCAAGATGAAGTGACTAATCAGTTTGGATCTCTCTGCCAACAGCTGACTGCCAGAACTCTGGTTTATGACAAAAGCTAAAGCATAACTCTTGACAAACTATGGCAGTCCCTAAATGGGGTCCGTGGGACCATAAAAATAGAAAATAAATGTTATTCCACAGTTTTGTTTTTCCTTGTGGACTACTTGAGTCTGTCAGGCTGATTTGAAAATGAAGCAAGTTGAAAGAGAGGAAATTATTAAGTGGTTTAATTGCCAAGCACCACAACACCTTTTATGGGGGCAGCAAACGGCTGTTAGTTTGTAATATACAGGTTTAGGATTAGTTTTTATTATTTGAACAGTTTGTAACAGAGTTAACGGGCTGAAATATCAAAGTAGCAGCTCTGATAAGAACGGGACGCACCGAAAGGCCCATCAGCTCTCCTGATAGGCCCGTGTGTTAATGTGAGTCAGGTCCTTCCTAAGCCGAAGAAAACAATAAATAACAATAAAACCTGGATCTTTATAGCTAGATAAAAGTACTTGCTTATAATATGAATTCAAAAATGTATCCTAGAGTCGTACGTATACAAGATTCATTTGACAGGTCTCGTGTCACAAACCCCTAGTAACCAATAACTGTAACAAACGAAGAATTTTCAGCAACTTACTATTATTTATTAAACATGTTTAAAAAGTAAAAAAGGGGATAATCCACTCACATACAAACAGGAATAAAAGACTGATATAAAGACAGTAAAAACATACATTTACACAAAGACTGTACAATATACACACACACAATTATTAAAAACATTGAAATCTTGAATAAAGTTCTTGTACTGATGACATCTGAATTAAAGGTGTGAACAGCAGCACAACCAGACTCAGGCTCACGTCTCCTCTCAGGACAGGAGGGTGATCAGAGCATCCAGAAACTTGCTCCGGTCCTCCGTCTTCAGCTCAATTACTGCACAGAAACAGAACACAGACACACATTATTTAAAGCCAAACATCTGTCAGTAGTAAAAAGCAGTGTGGGACAGGAAGGTGCAGAAATATTCTATAAATGCATGGCAATCATGACTGAGGGGGGTGTTACATTGCAGATAGGAAACTGAACTAATGACCAAATGATGGACAAAGCTGCCCCCTGGTGTCGGATGGAGGGACTGGCAGATCCATCCAAAACATTTAAATATGAGAACTCAAACACAAAAAAAGAAAGAGAGATTATAAAACTCACTTGAAGTGTCAAAGTTGTCGTGTAGAGTTCTGGAGCTGGTGCTCTCTGCAGCTTTCTCAAAGGCTCGACCAAAGAAACTTTTAGATTACAGAGAACAAAGATAAGAGATGCGGATATCAGTTTATGTGCAATTGATGCAACACATATGAATGTATTTGATTGACAGAAAATTGAAATCACTATTTTGATAAGCAGTTAATTGTTTCATTAATTTTTCAGGTACAAAACAACAGTTCTCTGCTGCCGACTTTTGTTATCATTGTAGATTGAAAAATGTAAACATTCATCACTTCGAAAGGAAATAATGGAAAAGAAAAAAGCATGGAATCGTTTTTTGAATAATAAGGGTGATTTAAGTATTACAATATCAACTTTATTGCAGATGAAATGAGAAAAATAAATGTTGCATGATGCTGGGATGCACATTTTTAAAAAACATTTTATAGACCAAATGACTTGGAAAATAATGATCAACAGTCGCCCAATATTGGACTATTGGTGAAAGTTGTCTTTCTATCAATTTATATTCTTAGCTCTACTCCTAATGTTTTGGTTATATGATACATGTTTAAAAAGAGGGCTTACTTCTTCTTGTCCGATGTTTCAGACTCGGGTGGGATCCCCAAAACAATGACGGTTCCCTTCTCCAAGTCCTTGGGAGCAGCCATGATGAGCGGAAGAAGTTTGCAGCGCTTATTCCTCGTCTAATGAAAAAAACAAAAAAACACCGGTAATGAAAGAGGGACCCCGATGACAAAAGCGTGTTTTCAGGGCCGTTAAAAGCTTCTTCTCTCACAGACTGAATCCAGTTCAATGGCAATTAGATACTTACAGAACTGACAAAAGCCTTCAGGAGGTATTTGCAGAGCAGAGTCAAGGCCATGGGCCGAGAGAAGAGCTTCACATCGGGCGTTCCCTGCACAAAAGAGAGAGAGCGGGGAGTGTTGAGCTGAGCAGGAGCTCCTGTTGGGACACAGCCACACACACACGTAGGTCACACAAACACACACACGCACGCATAGGTCACAGACACGCGTACCTCCATGAGGTAGCAGTAGAGGAAGGGTCCCTGCGACAGGATCAGGTTGGTGCAGATGCAGCTGGCCACAGTCTGCTGGATCGCCATCAGCTTCTTCTTCGCCAGGTCAATGCCTGAGTGTAGACGCTCAAGGTTACTCCTGAGAGAAAAAGACAACAACGGGGGACTAAAGTTAATTTGGGTGTTTTTAATCTAATCATTACAGACATTTTACAGCTAGTCATTTCTTCTTTAAATTAAAAAGCTCTACTCATACATAATGGTGACGTCATTGGTCACCATATCAACTCACAGACTGAATAAATATTACATTCAAAGTACACAACAAGAAATAAATAACAGTGCAATGGTTGGCATTCACATTTTTTAATCTGGTCCTTGTTCTGTTTTATACAGTGACCTCAAGTAAATCGGGGAGTAACGCTGAGCCTGGCTTTCTGATCATCCCATTGAGTTTATTCTCTTCAGTGATGGTGTTTAGGTAGACCATCTAGGGCAGTATCATCCGAGGACGTTTGGAAAGGAGAAGACACATGACTATGCGTAAGGTCAGCGCTATGAAGGAGCTCCTGTTTTAGTCAAGATAGTGCCATTAAACATGTGTTATCAACCCTGACAAACTGATGTTGTGACAAGAGACAATCCAATAAAGTTTCAGTTCACAAGTCATTCATTTCTCAGCTAAACCGTTTGGTTGAATCAACGGATCCACACTGCCACACACCTTGAAAGAGAGTCCAGGGCCTTGATGAAGTTGTCGCTGTTGCTCTCATCCTTCTCGGTGCTCTCCAGCAGGGCAGCGGTGGCATGCACCATGTCTACGGCCAGGAAGCGGTTCTTAAAGCCGAAGTGAACGCCAAATGTCTGGATGCGGATGTCCTTCATACTGATGGGGAGAGATCAATCATTTCAGTCAGTCTGCAAATAAATGCATCCGAGTGTCTCCAGGTGATTTCTGGATTCATACCCGTATTTATTGGAAGACTCCTCAATGACGTCCCGTAGGTTTTCTTTGATCGTCATGTCCATGGAGTTGAATTTCTGCCTCACTTGCTTCAGAGGTAGCCTGTTCAAAAAAAACATTGGCAGATATCAGCTGTTAAAACAAGTACGGCAGCTCTGTGAAACATTGAACATTTAATGATATCATGTTGGCAGAAGCCTCATTGATTTCTGTGCACTTCACCCCATGTCAGCGAGGAACTCCTGGAGCTTCTTTTGACCGTTTAACGTCCAGAGCTTAAAGTGGCACGTCGTGTAACAGGAATTACAGATGCTCTCATACAGGGACCAGTGCTGGTAGAGGGTTAGACGGAGGCTAAAGAACAGGGTTAAGGAAGCTGAACCTCCAGCCACTACGACACTTGAATGTACGGGGAAAAAAACAACAACAATGTAAACCTGTTTAAATCCTGAGTTAAGGATACTCGTATTCAAAGGAGATCCTCATACAGTCGATGGAGAGAGAGTTCTCCTCGTCTTCGTTTCGATGGTTATGCCGGGAAACATGTCGCTGCATTGTTGCAATGTCTGTTACATACTTCATACTGAAAAGAAACCAGGCAAATAAGAATAATTCATATTGGGAAAACTATAAAGTAAATAGATCCTGTAATGAATGTAGTAAAGATTTAAGGGAATCTATTTATGCTACTGAAGATATTCTTACTGTGTGATTTTATCATGAACCCACTGGTCAGTCAGTCCAATGATGGCCCACCTGTCAACAAAAACAAAAACAGATTACATCTTAAAGTCTGCACTGTGCTTTTCCACAATGTTTGTAGTTAAAAAAAAAAAGGGACATTTTAATTACAATAATTACCAAAGCATGTCCTTGGTGTCTTTAGTCAACACCCAGGCCAGCTCAAAAAACATCACTGCAGCCTGACAAAAGACACATGAAAAAGCATGATTAAACATTTGTATACAGGACAATGTTATCTGAAATGAAAGACAACATACAGCCATGCGTAATGAACTCTCAGATGTGTATAGATTGTAAAATGTAACAGTTTTGTGAAAGTTTAAAAGGGAAAAGAATGACAGAACATTTGTAAACCCTCTACTCACCGATGTCCCGTGATATTCATACTGCTCATAGTCAAATAAGATTTCCCTCCTGAGAAATAAGTGGAAACTTAGTGTCAGTTTAGAAATTGTGAAGATATGAAATCCCTACACCTCCTTAAAAACACTTCACCTTCTCGTTTCCCACTCCCGCTTCGCTCGCTGTCTATCAATTCTCCTCTCAATTGCTCCCTAAAACAACACAAATAACACAATCATTAGAGCCACACCAACACAACTGAGTCTTTCAGCGATTCTCATTCTGGTCCAATTCGTACCTCGTCAAATCTCCTTCGTTTCCCAGACGGCTCTGATCCGTCTTCACTCTCATTTCCAGAGTCGGCACCTTCCTCGTTCTCTTCATCTCGAAAGATGTCATCATATGAGGGCACACCAAGGTCGTCGTCTTGTTTGATTAGAAGCTTTATCTGTGGATGAGATGACAGAAGATTATACAATGGGAAATGACTGAAGTGTAAAACATGACAGCACTGTTTTCACTGAGATGGTTTGAAATTGTGTTAATGCTCACAAACTTCCACGGCTAAGCAGAATGTATGTAACTACTGCAAAGGCTAATAAAAGACAAATGGATGCAGCTAATTCAAAATGAACTATTGAACGATATTTTCCAAGCTTGCTTCTTTAAGCTGAATTGATCATTGTCCATCACCTGGCTGTCGTTGTAGACATTGACCACATCTACAGGCCGGTGAGTGTCGCAGATGAAGAAGACGGAGTCATCATCGGGCTGAAGCATCTCAAGAAGGTCAACATTTGCCCCACAGTTGATGAGAACAAAATACTTGAACTACAACACACAAAATAATACATTTAGTTCAGAGTGAGAGTTTGGTAAACCTCAACAGTTCTTCCTTGTTTATCCTTCTGTCATTTATTCACATGTACGAACAGATCTAAATAGTTCATACCTGCTCTTTGTGTTCAAGGAAGGCGGTGCCAAGGTCCTGCCAGGCTGTTACTGGAATAAGTGTGTACTGAACCTGGTCACAGTGGAACAGCGCCTGAAGAGACAAAAAGATTCAGAAATGATAGTTTAATCTTTTCCTGGTATCAAAGACTGAATAACAATAAAGGGATGAAATATGACATGAAAATGTGACAACAGCTGAAACAACTGACAATGAATGAACTGGCAAATATTTACAACAATCAATATATATATATATATATATATATATATATATATATATATATATATATATATATATATATACATACACACAAACACACACACACATACATACTTGTATGTTTGTTTTTTTATTGTGTCTTAATTATGCTCTGGTGCTTTTATGACTTCTTAACATGTGGGTTCATTGATCATTGTACGCCTCCTATGTGGATGTCTTATTGTTTTGTCAAGCACTTTGTGACTGTCTGTGAAAAGCGCTTTATAAATAAACTTTACTTACTTACTTTACTTACTTGTACATGTTTATGTCTACACATTAGTTAAATGATGTGTCAGGCAATAAAGGAGAGTTAAGTGTTGTTTTCTAAACTAATAAACACAAGTTTAGTAGCTTTGAGCCTCACCCTAGATTATATACAAGGATTCAGCTTCTCACATTATGGAGTTTAGATAACCGGTTTGCCTTTTAATAAAGTTAATGCAATTGTTATAATATTGAGATTATAACTTTTGGTTAAACGACATTTTAAAAAATCTGACATTTGAGGCTGTGGTCAATTGTGGCTGCATTTTTTACTATTACATTTCAGTTTTTCTCAATATTGTGGATGTTCTGTTACGACACATCACAAATAGGACTCACGTTTTATTCCACCCTGTATTTTATAAAAATATTTTTCCAGATAATTCAGCAGATTTTCAATTTAAATTTCATGTAATGTGACCAAAATGTTCTCCTATTTGATATTAGAGGCGTGTCCTTCTTGCTCAGTGTAATAATATAAATCTGCACTTATTTGGAGTCAATGGGTCACATGACATGGAAGCTAGTGAACAGATCAAGACCTTTCAAAAACAAACAGCAGTATTTATATAAAACTATTGCTGTAAAATACAAGAAGCGCCAAAATAGAAAACAAATAGAGGCATGTCCTACTTGTTCAGTGTAGTAATAATATCTGATATGCGTTTGGAGTTACTGGGTCACATGCCATGGAGGATGTTAATACAACTGGAATCATGTTTCACTTCAAATTATATGTGAAATCAATTATTGTCCTCCGTTATCCAAAAGGTGTGCCAGCGAAGACAACACATGTTAACTAATATAGGCAAGTTAGGACGCATGGTATTGAAAAAAACAGTAGTTTTGTTTTTAGCCATTTATTTATGTTGAAACGGTTTGGTTATAGCGAGGGCTCTGAGACTCCGTGACAATGAGAACAAGGATACTGCTGAGTAAATGAAGGAGTAAATGTCTGTCAAAATCCAACCTAAACCTAACTTTATTGCCATATGAGTATAATTTTAGTGTGTGCCTAGTCTGCACAGAGGTAACAGGAGCTAATGTTTGCTAACAGTTAGCATGATATTGTCTTACCTGTATTATCTTACAGGCGCAGAGTGCGTCGATGTCTGACGCCACCAGGAGAGCCACTCTCTGAAAGAAAAGCAATGTACGATATGTTTAGTAAGGTGTACAACATAATTACATGGGGCCGAAACTGACAATGAAGTAACTATTCGCTAATTGACGTTAGCAAACAGTCCTTAATGGTTCACCTTAGCTAACCTAACGTCACAGTTAGTGCGATAAAACAACTTACCTGATTGGCAACAACTTCATAAAACTCCTTTCTTATGTCCGTGATGAACATTTTGAAAACTTAAGAAGGTTTAAGATCAAGAAAACGGGGTAAAATAACGCTAAATGAACATGAACTGCGGGTTATTTTGGTTCGCTGTCAGAGACACGGAGCTTTCTTCTGTGCTGTTCCTTGTTGGAAATGTGGCGCCAAATCGGCACGTCACTTCCAGCCAATCACTGGGAGTTAACGAGCCGACGTCATACGTTAGAGGCGACGCACACTGAAGAAAAAAATGCCACCTAAACAAAGAATAAACACACACACGCACGCACACGCACACACACACACACACACACACACACACACACACACACACACACACACACACACACACACACACACACACACCACACACACACACACACACACACACACACACACACACACACACACACACACACACACACACTATAGTGCCTGCCCATTGTGTTCTTTATACAGTATTTGATTTTTGGCAAAAGTTGGGATGTCCGAAGTCCGAACACTTTGAGTTGTGTTATGTGTTTGTTTGTTTGTTTGTTTGTTTACCATCTGAGGTTATATGGTTAAGTCATTAAACAGTAGGTCACTGAAGGGATATTGTTCGCATCAATCTATGACAGACATCGATGTCTGTATTATACTTTTATTTTAGGATACTTTATTCTTCAATCTTCATACTACTAACTTCTTTATATACTTTTAGTTTTATTTACAGTGTTTCACCTATGTATCTGTATGAATATCCATTTATACATTCACAAGTTTTCTCTTCATTGAATTTTTTTTGCAGATATCATTTTTATTTACATTTTTCTTTATCTTATATTAATGGTATCCCTTATTTTAGTTTGCACTATTGCAATTTTTTGACAAATGTTTTATCACTAGAATCATCTTTTTCTTTGATAAACATGTTTTCAACTAGCAATGGTTGTAGGATAAATGAGAAATAAGATGTTCATTGCCAACAAATGCATCTATTACCTTGTTGTTCATTTTAATATGTATTAGCAACCCAACTCTATGCAGACATTATCCCAAAAATTAATGTTAAAACAATTGAGTCTTACTTCAAACAGGACTAACAACAGCAAGACGCATTGCAGTAAATAGAGTTACTTCAGAGCATTACAACTCAACAGAAAATGTAACATTCTGCATTTTGTAGCTGTACCATATCTGCATCATAATTTGCTGAGCACGTTTGTAATAAACTATTTTTGTTGCGGTATGCCGGCCAACTTTTGAAAATCCTATACTATGAAGGTTCCTGTAACCATCACACATTTCTGAGTCAAAAGAAATAAGCAAAGTACAAGGTGTGTTGCAAGTGTATTTAAAACATTATTTTGTGTCACCAAAAGAGTCATTAAAAGCATCACAACATGTACAATCAGGATACTGTATCAGCATGAGCACGAGCCTTACGAGTTGAAAGCCAAGGCAGATTATGATGAGCAAGTTTTAGCATCATCCCTTATCATGACAGAAGATCTAAAGGACATAGTCAACAACCTGATAAAGTAAACAAAAACCAAAAAGTAAGTACATTTGTAGAAACAGATGGAAATGTGGCGATCTGGAAGTAAGTAATGAAGGAAAATGTTGCTCCTTAGCTGTAAAACATGCAGGAATTTATCAAAATGCAACAAAGTTAAATGAACATCTATTTTGTCTGAAATATCCCTTAGAGCAATATGCCCACAGATATGATTCATACTCTCATGAAATAACATTAAAACATTAAGGATAAACAAATGCAGATTGAAAATTCAAGTAAACTCCTGCATGCCCAACAATTAAATAGACTTAGTCCTGTACATCATCTCATAACCACCTGCTAGATTGACCAAGTAATTCAAGATATTATCGTCTAAAATGTTTGCAAAAAGTGAGGTTTTTCTTTCTCTTGGCTACTCTCTTGTATTTTTGACATTTTCCAACCAGAATTCTTCACATTTCATTCCATCAACACTTTGTGGAAATAACTTAAAAGGGTTTTCTGAGGTAAAGAAAGGCAGCATGCCACATTTAAACATCATAAAGTGTCTTCCCAACTGGCTCCTGTACGCTGTTAAACAATAACAAACAAATATTTCAAACAAAGTTGTGTCCCCAACATGACAGAGAGCATACACTGATACATGCAGTATATACTTCATTCCCCGTAGCAAAGTAATTTAGTAAACAAAGGCACAAATTCATCAGTTTTTTTCTGCCAAGTCTGGTCTGAGACCACTGTGATCCCGATGCTTCAATCTGGATTTACAGCGACGAAGGGCTTTGACCCTGCAAAACCTTTGGCTGGTTTTCACACTAAAACAGAAACATAAAGAGGTTTGGTTGTTTCTCATGTTTCAACCTGCAAAAACAGTCATAATCTACATAACATTTTGATGAATTTCCAATTGAAAACCAACCTTACAAATACATTGATAGATACAACAGAAAGACCACATCAAAGTAAGCATAACATCATAAATTAATAACATACATGGTTGAAGAAAACTAGCAGAAAACTTTAGGTGCCAATAAAAACAGGATAGAAAGCCTGACCAGCAGGAGCACTGGAGGCTATAGCACCATCACCTGGATAGGTTACAGTCTGACCTCATTTAGGTTCATCAGAAATGTCTGCTTTCACCGCCACTCCAACAACAGACCCCACATCACCACTTCTCTCCACCTCTGGTGAACACTCACACTTCAGACTGGCAGAGGAGAGGGATGAAAGCCAGGGAGGGACTAGACTTTTTCAAGTGGGGTTGACTTATCCATAGTCAGTGTATTACCTACAGTAGTTGGTGATCAGCACGCAATTTGGATAAAAAGAGTAAAGGCATGAGAGCAGAGCAATGAACAAAAGTGGACTCCCCAACATATATTTTAGCCACTTAAAACCTAATATCAGAATCAGTTTAGGTGATTTCTTCGGGGGATAATCTTACTGCTTTGCCTTTGCTTTTTGACAGACAAACTGAAACTGGTATCGAGTTCTTGCCAACGCCATCAGACTCTATTTACAAAAACAGGACTTTTACTTCTGCAGAACACAGGAGTTTCTTGTCTACATCTGTTTAAATCAGCTTGTTTGTTTTTTATAGTGTAACTTAAGAATTAAAGCATTGTTTCCCATATACCAAAGTAACATAACAGCACAAACAAACTAACCAATCGAGGTAGCATTAGCGTCTTCAGTTCCCAATCAGGAAACAATCTGAAAATGATATTAATATTTTTTAGGTGGGCCTCTCTTTTAAGTGTCTAAAATACATACTCATACGTATTGACCCGTCCACAGCAGTACATTGCCGTGCTCCAAAGCCAGTACTCCTGTCTATTTCTGGGCGCGTGCTGCCCTCTACTGTATTATATTGACTGTAAAAAGAACCACACTTTAAACAATCCAAAATATCCCTTTAACCGTATGAGCAGTTGTGCTGTCCAGTTAGAGCAAACATTGGGCATATGAACCCTTTGCATGTAATAATCTAACAATCTGTGAATTTAAACAATCACGATATAATGCAGGAAGACAGAGAGATTTAAAGCAGTCAAGACAAACAGTAAAGCAATGTTGATATTAAGATATAAAGCTGACTGAGGGGTTTTGATTAACCTGGTTTAATATGAAGGTGTACTTTAGTTTTGCTTTCCTTCTAGTTGTCAACAAAGCAAAAAAACAACAACATCAAATGTTCTTGTACTTATCGCGCCATAGACCTCTACTGTATTCCAACTTGGACTAAATCTGTATCAATCCTCAGCTGAAAATAGTTCCCAACAAATGCACTATTTAGTCCTGCTTGAGTAACGTTAAGAACTTGTGTCCAGCTGTTTTGGCAAATTACTCAGCCTTTTACAGATATTAAATTACAAATCGCAATTACATATGCTATGATAAAACGATTTAGTTCGGATTAGCTTTCTCTACTTATAGATAGATCGATGTTATTGGTCAAATAAATGACTATATTGTGCAGAATCTAAATTCCAAGGTCCACTTCTCAATTATTTGCAACTGTCAACATTAGCTCAGCCTTCATTTGTGAGTGGAACTGACTCAAGTGGCATTAAATAACCAACAATGTAATCATTCAGGCACATGAGCCCAAGTGTTTGTGAACTTCGGCAAGACTGTAACCTGTGTGTTGTTTCAGAGGATGTCTTTCTTTCTCTATTCATCACCCCTTCACTGACTTAGCAAACAGTGTGCTTCTGGTCGGGAGACAGCTCCATCTGCCAGAGAAGAATTCGAAGACCCTTATAATAATCAAGCGGATTATGTTGAGCTAAAGCTTATCATTTGATGTTACCTATACTTTTTTTGTACATTCATTGGTTATTTAATGATTTAGTCTGGTAAATGTGAGCAAAATTAGGAAATACCACAATCTTTCAGAGCTTCAAATGCTTGTTTTTTCCAACAGTCATACAGTATTGAATTAAATTGGCAATAATACAAAAGCTGCTAATCCTCACAGCTAAGGAGATTCAGCCACCAAGTGTTTGGCATCATTAGTTGATAAATACTAAAAAAATAATTCGGTTGAGCGCCAACTCTCTTCACTATATATTGATTCCTAAAAGCCAGGAATGAATATCCCTGCACAAACAAAAAATAAAATACGACTTTTAAATCTTGCTTGTTGAAAAAGTTTCAAGTTTACAAAAACAATTACCAAATACTGTCCCTACATCAGGAGAAAGTGCCTCGCAGCGGCTCGGAGGTTAACGGGCAGTGAACGATCCGTGTAGTGCTTGTGTCCTGGACCTGCTCAGCTATTGTGAGTTTTTAAAGTTAAGTCTTCTAGAGGCACAATGCATAGGGTGTGTCGGGCTAGGCCTGATGGGAAACAATCAATATCATGATGTCCACCAAGCCCTCCTTCGTGATAACTTTAATGATGTTGATTTATGTTTGGGATAGCCTTAAGTTGTTATTGTAGTTGCTAAACTGGAGTCGTTATGTGCAGCAAGTGTTCAGAAATCATTCAGTGTTTCAGAAATCATTCAGAAGAAATGTGTCATTAGTCATTTTAGTTTAGAAAAATAACCAAGTCCCAACATTCAAAACAAATCCCACAATACAGTTACAATGATCAATGCCAAAAGATAAATAAACTGCCCAGCCCTCAAGGTGTGGAAACCAGAGTTAGAAAGATTACCATGTAACCCGTAATGAATGACACCAGAAACAGTTACAGCTGTTTACAGGGGCAGGATGTAGGTGGAGTTGGCCAGCTTGCGCTCCTGTGCGGCGGGAACAGTCTCTCTGTGGCGCAGGGGTCTGTGGCAGTCAGCGTCCTGGAGGGGGGGGTAGTGCTGTCTGTAGCACAGCCAGGAGAAGGAGAGGCCCAGCAGGGAGCCCACCAACACGTCTGTGGAGAGGAGACAAAACACACACTCATGTTAAATCCCATAGCTTCACATTAAGGCTTTCTATACATAATATCTAATTTATATCAAACCTTTTGGAAAAATACTAACTTTAAGAGATGCTTTTTAGGTTGTGCGATTCTATTAACTTTAAACTTAAGGGTTAGCTTTAAAGCTTTTTTATTTATGGTCATATGCACATTTACAGAGAAGCAGTCATTTGTAATGATCATCTTAGATCTGGGGCTCACTAAATTGGCGATAGAAAACTATTTTGCCTTAACCTATAATAATAAAGTAAATGTTGATTGCACAATATAATATTATAGAATAATGTGATTATCAGCCTTTAGTCTGGTTCTCCATCAGCCTGGCTTACACTAATACAATATTGTCGGCCACCAGTTAGGATCGCTCCGGGAAAATGAAGGCTCGATTTAAGGCTGACAGCCGTGAGTACTCTGCAGTGTTTACATCTCTTTTTCAATGCAGCAAGCTAGCACTAGCTCTTAAAGTAGCCATCATCGCTTATAAGTTCATTTAAATAATGGCAACATCATTGGACAATACATTTGCGCAAATCTTAGTGGTTGTGTTGTTGATGGAGAGATTGCCTGCACATGGCTCAAGAGGAGATGAAGAGACCCCATGGTGCTGGGAGAAGATGCCCTGGATAGAGATTACTCTGAGCAGCATTGGAGATAAATTGCAGTTTAATATATTTGAATATCGTTTTTGAGTTTCCTCTGACAGTGTCAATAAGTCACCACATTTGTAGCGAGTCGTGGGCCCAAAGAAAAAAGGGAAAGCAATCTGGTTGTTTTGTTGAAAGCAGAGCTAACAATACCAACTTGGACCCGAGGAGGTCTGGGAGGTGGAGGGAGTTACATTTGTGAGAAGAAGCACAGGACGCACAGCTCAGTGTTGTTGTATGCAGAGGACTGAATGAGCACCAAATGTTTATACAGGCTGCCTATTGTGAGAGAGAGGTCAATGGCATACATGATGTTATGTGTTTGGAACGGCTATAATAAAACGTCCGTGTCTTAACGACAGCGAGGCTCCATAAATCTAAAAACAATGAGAACACAATACGGACATAAACATGGAAACTCCACTAATATAACTTGACATTCCTTTTAATACTTGCCATAATACAATGTGTTGTTATAATAGCTGTATTGCTTTCTGGTTTAGTTGAGGTTTTACAGATAAATACTCTGGTTTCCTTTTTTCTGCTTGCAAGAGAGTCTATACTATATGGACAGAACTGAATATACAAAGGTCTATTTGCATCAAGTTTTGATCATTCAAAGTTAGTCAGATTAGAGAACAATCATTTAGTTGGTGTATATATGTAAAGTCAAAAGCGTGGATACAGGTTGTTGTAAGTACATCATATGCCAGCTTTCCCTACCAGTGAATTGGTTTTCCTTTTTCACGCATCCCCTCTCCTGTGTCCCTCCAAATCAAAATCCTCTGCTACTGCCACCGATGTAATGGAAATGCTTTTGTTTTTTACATGATGCTTTGTGTCATTCTGAGACTCTGACCTTGCCAGTGGTGTTTGTAGTCGCAGGTTCTGGAGAGGGCGATCACCGTGGCGAAGAGTAGAGGTGTGAGGAAGGCACACAGCCGCCACGCTCTGCCTTGGCCCGCCGCAGTGAAGCAGCGCAGCTTTCCTGCCACGTACAGCGCGGTGAAACCCAGACCTGCAAAGGCAACTGGGGCCGGGGAGAAAAGATGGAAAAGATGATATGAACCAGAGGACGTCTTACAAAAACAGAGAGAACTTGAAGAGGAAACAGCAATAAAAGAAGGGGGCAAGCATTAGAGATGGAGAAGTTCTTCCTGATATCCCTGACCTGTAGTGCTTTTTATAATCTAGATTGTGTTGGTGTGAGTTGTTGGAGATATTGTCGCCAGAGATGTCTACTTTCTCTCCAATAAAAGGGAAACCACATGGCACTCAGCTTGTGGTGCTCAAAGTGCCAAAAAAACATTTGAAAAACTCAACAGCATTGTTACTATGCTGTCGCTTAGAGTAACATCTTTCTCAGATAGCCAAATAAGAGAGGCTAAAATACACTTACATACATACTCGTTTTAGATATATGATAAGCCCCCCTGCCCCACTCTGTGAAATTGTTGTTTTTTTCTTGTTGCCTGCTGAATATGAACAAGCTACTGAGGCATAATCAACCACAAAAGGGCCTTACAGGAAGAATGGCCGCTGGGAAAGCTCTTCCTGCCCTCCGTGACCACATCTGGGTCACCGCTGCAGCGCCACTCCAGGTTCATCTGACCGTCTGGGAAACAGCGATAGAAGAAGTCTGGCCGAGGCCTGTTAACACAGAGAGGTGAGGGTTTTATTCACTGTGACACTGACATTTATTATCAACTGCTGTGTTTGTGTTAATATTCACCTGCCAACTACAAGTTTGATGACGTTGGTGAAAACTCCGTTGAGCACCAGAGTCAAAGTCACAGCTGGATGATGAGAAAAACACAGTCATAAAAAAGACCAAAACATTAGTTGACATTTTAGATTTAATATGAAAAATGAAATGTGTGTATGCAGCTTTGTTACCCAGCGAGGCCTCCTTCAGATCTCCTCGCTCTGACTTATTCAGGAAGGTGAAAACCAGGATTACAATCAGTGGGGTGAAAACTGCCACACTCTAAGAGAAGGAGAAGAGCATAACAACGATAATACAAATGAATGTCTGTGTGTAGGTTATTAAAAATAACGACAAACTTCTTCCTTTGATTGCTGCTTTGCACTTCCTCTTAAAAAGTGACTTTCCTAGTGTTTGTTCTTGTTTTTTTACTACAAATGACTTTTCAGGCAGCTGTAGGTTTCTGTTTATTTCACTACAGAAAGAAAAGCAACTTGCAGATACTTGTTAGAATAAAGTAAAATCTACGACAATACTGTGAGCATGAAATACTGCATTGCGCTTTATCCCACAATGACACAATCACAAATAAAACAAGTGATATTCACTATGGTATATTACCTCATCTGAAGGCATGTCCCTGAAGATAGGTACTTCATTTAAAAACATGATTTCATTTGGAGAAAAACTGTGATCAAAGTGCTACAAATAAACATTGGTATGGTTCCATCAACGAGTGAGAGCAGGAAAGGGACATCAGATATTCTGATTGTTGTGAAGGATAGGGTAAGGTGGAAAAACTGAGCTGAAGCATTTATATTTTGTTACATTTAACTCAGAGGCATGCAGGCATAAAACGTACAAACATAAGAGAGGTGGGTACGTGGTCTCTCTCCACACGATGGAATTTATACAGCCACATCTCCTCTGGCTGGATCTCACGGTAAAAAGGAGGAAGCTGCTCCGTCACACTAGACAAACACAAAGAGAGCTATAATTGTTTTATCATCATTAAAAACCACGCCTGCCTTTTCCATAATAGATAGATAAAGCAATGATGCAAGTGATTTAATGTTGTATATACTTACAGGAACACGAGAAGCAGCACAATCCGGACGGAGACTTCCGACAGGAAACCACGAAGCAACCTCCTCTTCATTTTGTTTCTTGGAGTGGACTTCAGTCAACAGCAAACATCCTCACTCTACTTTCATGTTTCTTATCTGCGACTAGAAAAAAAGAAGAGCTGAGTTGCAGTATTGTATAATAGTAGTTGAATAATGGTATAGCTATTATTTGTGTCAGATTTCTATGTAAGATGATTTTCATCATTGTTGACTGAATTATATATCATATGTTTTATCATACAATTCCTTCTTCTTTTTTTTTACATTACTAGATTTCAAACCACAGCCCAGAGACATTTATACATGTTTTGAAGGGGCTTTTCACTCTTTCATCAGCAGTTGTTAATGACCCTTGTCCCTTAAACACTTTACAAAAAAAACGAAAAAAAAACTTAAACATTTAAAAAAAAAAATGGTCTTTCTACTTTGAGTATATATCTGGTAATATATATGTAAAGATGATGTTGTTTCACAGCAGGTTATAGCCAGGTTATAGCCAGGTTATAGCCTCTGCTCTGTGTAAACCTGATATACAGGCCAACATGCTGCACCTGTGCCCTCCTCTTCCAGGTGATACACACACATTTTAAAGCTGTTATTTACCTGCATATAACATAAAACCAGTTTTATAATACAATACAAATATTAAATGAACGGCTTTTGTCAATACCAAGAAAAGAAAAAAAACATTTAGTGTCTTTGTGATGTGAAAAAAGATGATAGCAGAGTATGCTAAGCTAGCTAGCAACATCTGTCAAAGAAGCATCTGGCCCATTTCCGCATTGTCAAAACAGCGGATATCGTCTCCGTTACTAACCTTTAACAGCTCGTTATTTTATCTCTTCCTCCTCATATCAACGAGTGCCGTTAACGTGAATCATGCCTCCGCATCCTCTGTTTCTGCGGCTGGTGGAAGTGGCACATTGGAGAAATTCAGGGATGCACCGGAGGAGAACAGTGAAGCTAACTGCTACATCTGAACTACTTCTGGTTTGGGCTTTTCAAAATAAAATGATGTATTTAAAAGTAAAACGTGTCATTCAGAAAAACTCATTACTTTTGGAGATTTTGTACACATCATACTATTTGTTATATATAGGACGAAGTGTGATTACAGAGAAAATGCAATGCAACACATCAATTATAAAAGGATAGTTATATTATAACAAGCAGAAACCTAAGCAAATTAAATTAATTGAAAGGTCTCATAAGTTTTTATTTATTTTAAGAAGAGGCTTCTTTGTGAACATAATTTAAAATATAATCAGTACAACTTACTTTGAAGTAAATTAATGAACTTAAGTTTAAGTCGGTTTTGATTCCATTTCCATAACTCTTCTTAAATGAGTGACTTAACACTAAACAGATAGAGTGGCTTGCACATGTATGAGATCTGTTGTGCTATGTAAACCGGAAATGGTCATGTGGGAAAATATCCAACTTGACCTTTGGAGGCAAAAGCCACGTCACGTTACAATCAGCCCTACAGAAATAATACAATTTTAATAAATGAAACTTTCCTTCCTATGGGTTCACAAAGTGATGCTGTTTGAAGTTACTTTATTCTGATTATCACGCATTTGTGAATGTGCTGTAACTTCACAGTATACATTAATGAATTATATACTTTTAGCTTAGGTAGTACTCTATTAAGGTAAATCCCTTACCATTTACACACATAATGATGTTGAATTGTTTTTTTCCACTAAGCATGAAGGCAACATTATCTCGATTTATCTTGTTTTCTTTTCATCACAATTAAGTTATATTTTAAAGTAGTTGAAATAAATCCCATAAAGTGAGAGTGTTCACTGAGACAGAGTACAGCTTTATTAAAGTCAAACTTCAGGCATGTCTGAACTCTTCAAACTCAACTTTAGAATGAAAAAGGACAGAATCAATATTCTCAAATAAAAAGACAGTCATGTACAAAAAGAGTGTCGTCTCAACAGTCACACACATTTAGAAGCAGAATTGTACAGGCAAAAAGAGCACGCCACAGTAACATGATTCTATGCAAGTTCAATGCAAATTATTTACAAGTTCTTCAACAATATGCAGTATGCAGTAACACAGGTCGAACAGTAATCAACATGGTATTTTGTGTTCATCCACATTTTTATTGAAGCAACACCAAGAGAGATAGATATGACCCCAGTTAGAGTTACCGTAAGTAATTTTACTACAAGTAAAAAAGAGATGAGTGCTTATGAAAGTGATTTTATTATTTAGTAAAACCCTATTTTCTCCTTCGACAGCATGTCAATTAAAAGAGAAAGTCGGCAACATTGCACAAAAAAACAAAAGACGTCACAGTGAACTGAAACATAGCCTTTGACATACAAGTGGGGGGCATCTTAAATGTAAGTGTATATAAAAAATAATATCAATCCTGGACACTTCAAAAAATCCTTTTAGGCATATTAAGGGGCCACCTAAATCAGACAAACATGCTATCTCTTTAAAAAACTAATGTGGGCACTACTATGACGATAAACCAACAGAACTTCAGAGATTAATTTAAGTGAATGAAACGATGCACGCTGGGACACTTAAGTGGAGCAAAGGTAACACTGCTGCGTCAGCTCAGAGGGCAGAAGAGACAAACTGGCACAAAGTAATTATGATCGTGCGATCTGCAGGTGCAAAAAAAGAAAGGCTGTTGCGCTGTGCAACATGGTAACAAACCAATAAAGGAACAGAAAAACAAAACATTAGCTATTCAAATCAGGCATTTAAAGATTTTCCAACTGAAGTGGATTAAACCAGTGTCTGATGTTTGAAGCATGCCATCAGCTGAACTGTCACTTTGAAAATAAAAAGGGCTTTAAGACCAGTTATATAATCATAACTTATCAGTCAGACATTTTCTCTGAAGACACAAACACAAAAGTCAAGGATGCCTGCGTTCTGAATATAAAACAGAAAAATAAAATGCATCAATAAATAAAAAGGATATTCAAGTTTAGACACACAGACCGGTTTGAGTTATTAAATTAAGTGAGCCTAATGACGCACCAACCTGATACTGAACATTTGGACCATTTCCTATGACTGACAACTAAACAAAAATGCATCTCTCTCACATTTAGGACCAGCAAGTAATAAGCAAGTTTAATCTCTTTCTCAGAAATTGACAAAAAAAGGCTTCCTAAAAAGGGTCAATAATAACAGGAAGACAAAAGAAAAGCAGCGGTTGAATGCAGAAGAGGGAGAGAATTTGAATATAAATTGAACACATTGTCATTTAAAGGCATTGAAGATGCAGGAAGGAAGTCTGAGCTTTTGTATGTGCTTTTTTCACAAGATAAGTGCCTATGTGTAATTAATTATTTGCATATATTTAGCATATTAAAGTCCTTCTAAACTCAAACATGTGTTTTGCTAAATGGTACTTAAGTGTTTGACCTTCACTGTGTAGAATTAAATATGTAGAAAAACAAATCTTTTGAAATATCACATTTCTAGCATAAATCATGCTTATAATTGTCTCATTGTTCTGCATTCAATGGCTCCCTATTCACCCTTTCTTTCGTCTTTTTTCCTCACAATTGGCACTCACACGATTAGGCACACAGAGATAAAACTAATGCAGTCGAATACAACGGTCAATGCAATAAACCCCAGCTTCATAAAGGTTATAAAATGATCATTCAGTTTAATCAACACCTTTATAAACTGGCTTTTAACCCAAACTGAACATTATAATGTGCATGAAGGTAGATTTATTGACGGTTGTGTAAGACTATTATGTTAACCTCCGTGTGCCAAATAAACTGGAGACTGAGTGAATAAACTCCCTGCATTCGAGAAGACCCTGAATGAACTGAAATGTTTTAGATAAATTGGCACGGTTTCTCCCTGTGGCTCATCGGGAGGCTTAAGAACAAATAAAGAGTATTAAGGGCAGAAAATACAAGAAACAGAATCACAAGCAAAAGGCTGTGATAAAGTTTACCGTTCCTTAAGTCCAGGCTTTAAAGAACACACAAACTGAACTGAAACTTGACATTCCTATATTTAACTGCTTCACACTGATTGTAACACTAATTACAGTGAGTCACGGTACAGGGCGATGAGCAGCGGCCGTTACCAAAGTGTGGAATCATTACACCAAATGTAAAATAACAGAGAACATATGCAATGATCAAACACAGATATATCATGTAAAACTCCCCATGTTTTTTTTAAATAGTCTATTTCCCTTACACCGTGGTCGAGAGGGAGACAAAGTACTGCACTGGTGATTGAAAATGAAACTGGTATAAAATGTGGTGCAATAAATACAAAACATTTTGATTTGACAGATGAGAGATTTAGAAACACTGTACAGAAGTTTGTATTTGTACATCGTACTGGACCGGACTGTTGTCATACCATTACGTCTCTAGATAACAGCCAGCCTTTAGGATGTTTTCCAGGTGGAAAATTTAAAAGTGCCTCTCACGGACACCGTCGATTTCTGTCCAAAGCCGGGCTGGCAGTCTTTCCTACTTGTGCCAAAAGAAAGCAGCATCATTTAGGCCACTCTGCTCAAAAACTTCAAAAAACCCTTTCCACAACGTTTCTGACCGAGAGGGAAAAAAAGTTACAACACAGTTTTAATTCCGACGTTACTACAAGAAGAAGAGGTATCCATTTTGAAACACTTGTCTTATGTTCTTTTGATATACATTTCTGTATATGTATGACCTAGCTAAATTGTGTAGCGACAAGCTGTGTAAAAGTGCTTTTTCAGAAAAGTTTGGCAAAATAAAAAACAGAAAGGAAAACAAAAATATAAGCATCTAAGCGGTCACAGTACACGACGTTACTGAAATGGACTGCACTCTGGGCAGCACTTTCTACAGCCAGAATCAAGCTTAAGGCTGATAACAATACTTAGACAGCACCAGTGATCACAAGCTGAGCCCCTCCATCTACAATACAAATAACAGCAACTGCTCGGAGGAAATGAGGGGACCGAACTTTTATTGAAAAACCAAAATAAAAAGGATCTGTCTAGTTGTTTTAAAAAAGCGTTTCCTTCTTCCAGGAACAACCAGAGAGGCGAGGCTCCGTCCCTCCTGATCTTTATGTACTTTACAATATTATGAGCCAATTATGTACACAATGGCGAGTGAGACTGGCAATATGAAAATCACAAGTACTTCTGTAATGTCATACCATTACACTATATACCATTATATTTCACCTTAATAGGACTATTTTCACAAGGAGGTCTGCGTAATGTTTAACACCTAAACAAACAAACATAATACAACCACTCACCGAGATGAAGTGAGAGAATCTGTCTGTAAACATTAACAAACATAGATACTGTATATAATTATATTCATCTATATCCATTAGTATATTAAAACCATGTCTAAGGAAGGTTGGAATGTAGTGTATTTGAAAAGAATTGCACAAAATCTGTCATTTCCCCCTTTTTTGTTCTCCAAGAAGAAGAAGAAGAGATTAATACGATGACGTCTGGAGTGATGATCGGCTGTGGGGGAGGAGGGGGAGGGGGAGGCTTGTGCGAGACGCCGATCACGGCTTACAGTAGGTGAACAAGGAGCAGCTTCACACTCCTCCTCCTCCCTACCCCTCCTCTCTCCACCCCTCCCTCCACAGAGCTCTTCGAGTTTCTGCAAAGTGCCGTATTTGACGATGTGATAACATTTTGTATTTCAACAGCTGTAACAATAAAAAGGAAACGTAATGAGGTGGTGGCCCTCTGATGGGCGGAGGCGAGCTGTAGAGAGTGTGAGAGGTGTTTTCTGGCTAGAGAGGAGGGGAAAGGGCGCATCATGATGGTCTGGCCCTCTCCAATCGCTCTGCCTGCCACTGACGGCGTGGAGCTGTTCATCGACTCACCCATCGCACTGGTCAAAAAAATCACTGTATCCCTTTGGTCACTGCTTCGGGACAGAGGGGGATCAGAGCCCAGGAGCGCACTTTTCAGGGGGATGAGGTATTGAGGGGGCTGAGGTGTCACTCTGAAGCCGGCTCGCCCTCCTCCGGCTCCTCCTTGACGCTGACGGGGCTCAGGGCGGAGCGGCGGGGCAGGGTCAGACTGGAGTTGGAGCCCAGGGGACTGGCGGGGTTGTGACTGGAGCAACAGGGACGGCCTTCGAGGGAGGAGGAGGTGAGCGCCCCCTCCTCGTGCTCCCGGCAGAACGAGCGAGGGCAGAAGTCACACAGCGACGATGCCGGGGCGCCGCACACACTGCAGTCGTGCCACGGACATTCCCAACGTCCTGCAGACACACATGGAGATCATTATGAGGACAAACCTGTCGGTAGATGCCCCCCAAATAAATGAGGGCTCAAGAAGCAAAGGCACAACTTTGGTTTTGCATTTGGAGTGGGGGATTGATCAAATGCAGAGATTTGAGACACAGTAGTAGAAGCAGGAACAAGGAGAACAGAATTGTAACTGAGGACAGTTATTTTTAATTATGTGCCAGCTCTCCCTAAAAAAAGGGCTTCATGGGTTTCATTCACTTTTTTTCTATAATTTTAATGAAGGATAAAAGGAATTGTGTTGTGGTGGTCCAACCGTTAAAAAAGTTACACTCAATTAAAAAAGAAAAAGCTCTTTCTTTAAAAATATTCCTCTGGATAATCGACAGACCTCGCCGGCAACTTTTTTATTGGGTACTAAAAGCTGATGAAATGTTATTTTGTAATTTGGATGAACTAATCTGACAAGTCCGTCTTTACCAACCTGGGGCCTATACTACGAAGCAAGATTTTCGTTTAGCAAGCTAACTTCAGGGGTTTCCGGTCCTACGACGCTGGTTCACTTTTTAGCGGGCTAGATAACTTATTCTGAACGGCTAGCCTCCGGAGCAGGATAGGTTCCAGGATAAAAGCACTGCCTGCTGACCAATCAGAGCTCAGTGTGCGGAGTTTAAAGCGATCAATTCATATGACAGGAGGAGAAAGGAAATACAGTTTAAACTGCCGTTGCAGGAAAGACGGCCGGCCAAAATCACCGACTGTGTGAACGTGAAAATGAATAGAATATCCCCTCCCATCTTCAGAGCAATCTGACTATTATAACATTAGCGTTAAGAAAGCTTACTTAAATATCTGCCACAACATAAGTAACATACTGCTGGTAAAAGAAAAAGTGTTTGAATACGTTCATTAACAGTTTTATGACATCACTGCTGCCCCGTCTAAGACACGAGTGGATCTGACTTTAATTACATTTGACTCGAGTGTTTCCTCAACTTAATGTGTTGCTTAAAATAATACTTCTGCATACAGTATGTGACACTGTGAGTGTTGCACGCCAGATACGGCTCAAGAAGCTGACTCAAATAAGGAAATATATGATACATTATGATGTGATATGAATGATAATGGGACACATCACCGTCTGCACTCACAGTGCCGCGGACTGTAGGCTACGTAATGTTACTTTGATCCGGTCACCTTGCAGGTGCAGCTATGTGGCTTTTATCCTGGATAAAGTGTTTAAGTCCTGGATGTTTAAAGTTTAACGTCTTCATATTTGACTAATATTAGTTGACTTTTCATTCAGGAAATATATGACGCGCTGCGCTGTCAGTACACGGCTTGTCCATGTTTGTGATTGGTCGAACACTCCAAATACCACCCCTTTCATGTGAACGCGCACCTAACTAGATAGGACACGGCTGGCTTGAGCGATCGAGTTGATAGCCAGCGTCGTAGGACCGTTTAGCGAGAGCGGGTTTTTTTTGGATTTAGTCCGGATAACTCAAAACATATCCAGGATATGTTGAACTAGATTCGTAGTATACCCCCCTGGTCTGTCTACAAAAGGTCTCTCAGAAACCTCTGGGGTGGTGAGAAAAAAAAAGACAGATTTTTACCACATTCTTAATAGTAAATGACTGTTTACATTTACCTCTTCAGGCCTTTAGATAGAAGGATTCCTGCTAGTGACTTACAAAAAGGCATCGCAAGAACAGGGGGAGAGAACTGACTGAATTTGGTTGAAATAACCAGGAACAAATCTGCAAGACTTTAACATTGTGCGCATAAACATTTGAATGTTCAACACACACAAAAGGTAATTGTGTCATTACCGTATGGAGGCTTGTTGAGGTTGAGACAGTGCAGATGGTACGCTTTGGGACACTCCTTCCTGTCACACATCACCAGCTCGCCTCCCTCTCCGCAGCAGAAGCAGAAGTATTCGTGGCAGTGTTTGCTCTCCGGACGCAGCCTCCGCTTCTTCGGCTTCAGCTTGGCATTCCTGGCCTTCTCCTCTTTCTCCATCACCACAGCACTCTGCAAGAAACATTATAGATACATTATTAAATGCTATCAAAACACAGGAAGAGCTGGATTTCTGACGAGAGGTCAATGCACTCACCGTTGGCTGCACCCCGAGGAACCCCGAGCAGTTTTCTGAGCCGCAGTGACAGGACGACCTCCTGTTGCCCACACAGTGCAGGTTGTAGTTGAACGTCAGCTCTGTTTCTGCAGGAGCACCAGAGACAAGATTCACAACAGATGGATCATCAGGATCATAAACACACACTGTCAAAACTAAATAACCCCATTCTTCAAGAAAAAACTAACCGGAAACCACTTTTTTACATACATTAATTTCAGTTTAGGTTTTTAAGCTGTATACCAAAACAAGGAGACTTAAAAAATAAAAAGCCTTGTAACTTTGAATTTGACTTGAATTTTGTTTTTCACATGCAATTTGTCTTGTAGAACTAAATTATAAGAACATAATACAAAATAATAAATCTTTTTTATATAGCGCTTTTCCTGGTGCTCAAAGTGCTTAACATGATTTAGATATTTCAGATAAAACACAGAGGTCTGATAGTGATCATGATAAACTAGGGTTTACTGAGTTTTACTGAGTGTGGTAGTACCCAAATCAAACCATTTAAACTATAAGGCCATTTCTACAAACTTCTTGAAGCCATGTTCTTAATACATATGTAGCCATGTACTTGTGAGACATTATACCTGTCCCTAACAAAAACAAACTAAACTACTGAAATACTAAACATAGCAAACACATTTTGAAAACTAAAGCTTAACCAAAAATAAGTTGAAAAATGTTTTTCTATAAGTTTGAATGTAAATGTATGAATGTAACAGAATACATGTGTGTTTCTATGGGAACCTACGGGCCTCGATGTCACAGAGGGTGAAGAGTCCTATGCGAACGTCTCCGTTTACCGTCCACTTCTGTGTCTCACAGTTTGGACTGCAGCTGTGGTTCATAAACCGAGCCGGGTTCCCTTTCGGGCCGGCATCGATCACACGGTCCTACAAGGACAGATTGAACATAAAGACAGGGGGTTTAGAAATGCTTCTGAAGGTCTATCCTCTGAACAATGATGATCAGTGTCATTGATGTTACCTTGGTGAGGGTGAGCATGTAAAAGTCGGCCACGTGATTTTCATGGGCGCGTTTGATTCGCTGCTGGCACTCCTCTGAGTCAATCACCTCTCCTACATACTCCGTCACAAAGTCACCCTGGAGGAAACAACAAAAGTCATATTTTATACAGATACCCTTATTTCATTTCATTGTATTTGTTCCGTTCATGGTATGCACAACTCAATGTATAACAATTATTTACAAAACATGTCTATAAACACACCATACCCAAAAAGGAGCAGGGAGAAGAAAATCATCTTATGTTACCTGCCCCTTTCTCAAAAGAAATTAATACATATAAATAGATGGTCTGTCCTTCATATTTCTTATTCACAGCCAATCATAACAGTATCGTAGGAAAATACGAGAAACACAAAAACGTACAAAAAAATACTTAGTTCCCGACAGTTAACGGAAAGAAACAAAATAAAAAATGTCTTTCACTTCACGAGAAAGAACAGATAGTCTAACTCGATTTCAAAATACAATTTGACTTAAATGTTTGTTTTGTTTATCTGAATACATGATAGGAAAATGATTGAGACCAGAGGCCTGTACTACGAATCCAGTTCAACATACCCTGGATATGTTTGAGTTAGCTGGCTTACCTAATCCAAAACAAACGCGCTCTCGCTGAGCGGTCCTACGACGCTGGTTATCAACTCGGTAACTCGAGCCAGGGTTTCTCTGTCCGGCTGAGTGTGCGTTCACATGAAAGGGGCGGGGCTAGCAACATTTGACCAATCACAAACATGGAGAAGCGTACTGACAGCGCAGCGTCATTCTTCCTGAATGAAAAGTAAACTATAATATTAGACATATGAAGACGTTAAACTTTAAACATCCATGACTTAAACACTTTATCCAGGATAAAAGCCACATAGCTGCACCTGCAAGGTGAATACAGCTGGTAAAAAAAAGTGTTTGAATGCGTACTTTAACAGGTTTATGATATCACTGCCCCGTCTAAGACACGAGTGGATCTGACTTTAATTACATTTGACTCGAGTGTTTCGTCAACTTAATGTGTTGCTTAAAATAATAATTCTGCATACAGTATGTGACACTGTGAGTGTTGCACGGCCAGATACGGCTCAAGAAGCTGACTCGGATAAGGAAATATATGATACATTATGATGTGATATGATATGAATGATAATGGGACACATCGACGTCTGCACTCACAGTGCCGCGGACTGTACTTAATGTTACTCTGATCCGGTTACTTATGTTGTGGCAGATATTTAAGTAAGCTTTCTTAACGCTAATGTTATAATAGTCAGATTGCTCTGAAGATGGGAGGGGATATTCTATTAATTTTGCACGTTCACACAGTCGGTGATTTTGGCCGGCCGTCTTTCCTGCAACGGCAGTTTTTTTGTATTTCCTTTCTCCTGTAATACGATTTGATCGCTTTAAACTCCGCACACGGAGCTCTGATTGGTCAGCAGGCAGTGCTTTCACTGAGTTGATCTCTTAGCCTGCAACCTAACCTGCTCCGGAGCAGGTTAGCCGTTCAGCATAAGTTACCATGGAGATCAAGCCCGGTAAAAAGAGAACCAGCGTCGTAGGACCGGAAACCCAGAGTTTTCCCTGAAGTTAGCTCGCTAAGCGAAAATCCAGCTTCGTAGTACAGGCCTCAGAGCTTGATAGTCAAGCTGTTACAGAACATGTTGATGCTGTTTTTGGTGAAATGATTGAGCTCAACACCGACCTTTCCGAGAGCCTGGTTGGTGCTGAGGCCCCAGCCACGGCCGTCCGTCTGTATCACCTCCGTCTCTGCGTACAGCCGCTTGGAGAAACACTGGTTCTCACAGCTCTCACCTGCAGGACACACCTGGCAACAACAACAACAACAACAAAAACAACATGAAGAAAAGGTAAGAAGTTGAGGTGCAATTACTCATGGCTGGTTATATTGTTCAAGAACTGTAAAACGAGTATGCACACAGACCTGTGGATGACACTCGTACTGCAGCATGCGGTTGAGACACTGAGAGTGGAGGCTGCACGGATGCTCGTCTGTCGGTCTGCAGTTGCATCGTTGGATTTCTGACAAATCAGCTACGTGCACCTGCACTTTCCCCACTGGTTTGTTGGACTGATACAAGAAATCAACGGTAGAATCAGTTACGACACTGAAGATTCATTCAAAATAACTTTTTTAGTTTTTCTTCAAAGTGGGATACCTTGATGAGTTTGTAGGGGGGAGGTTTGCGAGAGTTGCGTTCCTGCTCTAGAGCCTCCTTGCTCTCCCTCTGGGCCTTTAGCTCCTGGAACCGCCGGGCAGCTTCTTCCAGAGCTAAAACACACAGCGACAACATCTCAGAGACTCACCCTCCCTGCATCTTTAGAAATATGCACTCACAACTGATTTGTCATAAAGAACAAAAACACTGAGGAAGAAATTACCTTTCTTGAAGGTTTTGTTGATGTTGATCTGACCCGTGACAAAGTTCTTGTCATTCTCCACGTAGGGGAAGACGCGGCCCTGGTTGATCCAGTAGTAGTCGTGGGAGCCAAAGAAGAAGACGGGGAAGTCTCCAACATCGTGACGCAGGCTCTGAATGTTTGATGGCACCAGGCGAGGGTTGCAAATCTCCGCGGGCCACCACCTGCAAGGAAAATGAGGCAGTGAAAAGTAAGACTGGTGTCTAAGTGTGGTAAAAAAAACAAATCATACAAGCCCATCTAAAAGTTATTATAGCCTGACGTAAGCATTACACTTTTAAAAAACCTAATGAAACTTAAGAACTTACAAAAACAAATAACTTTCACTAGCTCCTGCAAAGTCACAGATCTCTGACCTATAAGATCTACACTCATGGCTGGTAAAAAGGTTTTTTTAGCACACGCATTATTTGTGTCCCATTACCACATTGTAATGTAATACCATGCCAGCAGAGAATAATCTAACTATTGAGCAGAGCTGAACATGTAGTGTGCGACAGGAAAACACCACCACAGTATTTCCTTATTTTTCCCTTTCATCTATAACATCAAATACATGGATCACCAATTAGTACGTTATTTTTGATTAAGTGTATTTGGGTAGATATTCTATACACGTAGAGATAGTAATTGATAATAAATATAAAGAAAATTAATGTTTAAAAAAACAATAACAAATAAATAAACCAAAATAATGTGAAGGCAATACTTTTTAAATAAAGCAATGATTCATAATACCATACGTTCTATACTATATAAAATATATAATTGTTATGTGTATACCCTGAATGGATGTTACATATTGTTGTATATATTTTTAAATGCTGTAACTAGCTAATCTGTCCCTATACTGTTCATGGTTCTCACACCAAAGCACATTTGTTGCTACTAAAGAAAAAATCTGTGATTGTTATTTTGTACTTTCATTTGATTACAAGTCAAATATAGCATTTCACCAACTTTACATTTCACTGTACCATAAACTGACAGTTTCACCACCCTCAGCAGTCCGTCCCCAGTGCTCCTGCGTACCTGTAGTTGCCCAGTTTGACCCAGACAATCTGTTTGTAGTGAGGCTTCTTCCCCGCCCTGCAATCACTGCAGGACCACGCCCCCTCCGGCGTCTCCATCTCCAGACACTCCGGGTGGAAGGAAGCCGGGCATGTGTCGCAGCACAGCAACTTGCCTCCTACATTTGTATGGATGTAAACGTGTATGTGCGTGAATGTGTGTGTGTAAATGTGTGTTTTGAGTGTATGTGTGTGTGTATATGCATGCATTGTGGGAAATGGGTATGCAAAGAGAGGAGGAGTGTATGATTAGGTGATGCACCTTTAAACCTGGACAAACTCTGAATCTAATTTGCAGACAGGCCTACTAAAAGTATAGAAGCTGAAAAGGTAATGGTTCTCCAACATCTAGTGTTAAAATAGTGTCCTTGTAGGGAAAAGTGTTTTACTTAAAGCTACAATCTTAGCTTCTGGGTGGTTTTCTGAAAACAAGGCCAGGTTTAAGGAGCCTGCTTGAGTGGAGGCTCCTAAGAGAGCTGTGCTCCATGGTAAAGACTGAACCCTGCAAGGAGTCTCAGTCCGTTACACCTTTCATTGCAACAATTACAGCATGTCTGGAAATCAGATTCAGAGTACTGTACCAAGAGCAGTCTATGGGAAATACATGCATCAGCACAGGAGTCAAATCAGCCAGCAAGTTAACATGAATCAGGGTTAAACTCAAACAACCGAATTATTGGCAGAAAGCAGGCATGCAGTCCTGCCAGTAAAGCAAACTTTCCCCATGACACACATCACATCCTGCACAGACCAGCTTGCATGGAATCATGTTTTTTTTAATATTTTAATTTATTATATTTTACATCACAACTTTTAAAAAGGTGGTCATTTAACTATTGCACTCATCTTTAATAATTGAAATCAAATCTAGTCCCGATTGAGATAATATTCCATCCAAGGCCGGTCAAAGCTTAAGGAAATGAGGTGAGCAACATTTCATTTCATCTGAATATTTCAGTCAAAAATAAAACTTATTGCAGTCAGCATAGAAAGATGTGAGGCTTTCAAATCAAAAACAAGCCCAGAGTGCTGAAGCAGAGCAGCAGTGCGCCCCCAGCAGCGAGAAGCTCACCAACCGCAGGCAGAGCTAACTGAGCTAATCCACAGCTTCCAGCATCCTTCATTCATGTAGTTTAAGTACTGGAGGTTTGACAGCCAATCATATATTCCCAGCAGAGACATTGTCCTCATTGAAAACTTAAAAGGACTTTTGATTTATCTTGTTAATTGAAGAGATATAAAAACCCAGATTGACTGTTAATGCAAAGCATAAACAAATCTCACAATGGGCCTCGTGCAAGAACCACATATATACGGAACAGATTTGTTCTTCAGCGGCACGTTCAAGTCAGGTTAGAGAACTTATTGCATTCACAGGTTTCCTTCTAGCGTACGAACGAAATTCACAGTGTGTTGTAAAGTCATGCTCTGATAGTCAATCTTTCTCCCCAAGAGGAAACAATGACTTATCTGACCTTTAAAATCATGATAACAAGAACATATTCTTAATCTAAATGAACGTGGAGTTTTAATATGACTTTGAAATCAACTAAATATATCTATTGGTGAATAAATAAAATGGTCTATTTATATTTTACGATATTATTACAATTATGTTCAATTTTTTTTTAAACTGGCAACATCACCTCATGTAACCACGTAGTAATACAAATTAAAATGTATATATCTGCATACCAATACTGTTCTATTTCCCATCATTTCATGGAAATTAAAATAATCCCTCTTGGGAAAATTAATAAAGGAAAAATACATATATATATTATTTTATTTAAATATATATATAATGTATTTTTAAACACATCTCTCTATTAATGTGGTTTTTAGGGGGGCGAAATCATGAGGCCTAGAATACACAAACTTCCTTTGCAAGATCGCATACATTTAATGAGTTTTCACATGAGTTTTTCAAGAAAATCAATGAAAGGAACGTAGAGGTTTTGGTGAGTTGATAAGACTCAGGTGTTAATAACATTATAAAAATAACTAATGACGATAACAATTCCTATTTTGGTGTATCCTGAAATAAGAGGTTTTGAGGAGGAATATAAAAGTGTTCTTGCATGATGCCCACTGTTATCTGTTAATGTGTTAGGGAACTTGGCTGAGGTTACTTTGCGCCACTGCATTCAATTAACTGCATATTTACCAGTTAATTCTCTTGGCACCTCAAGGCTTTGAAATGAATGATGCGTACACAAAGGGGAGCAGGCACAACACAAACACAGACCAGGGGGAAAGGGAGGAAGAGAAAAACTGTTCAGTTACCTTTCCCAACATTCTTTTTGGTAGCTGACGAAGGAGAGGGAATCATAGGTAATTTCAACTCAGCACGATTTGACTCAGTCAGAAGGTAGTGGGACTTATAGGCATATGAACTTAATATGGTGTCAGTAAGGTCTTGCACTAACAGCCCTACACAAGACACACAGGAAGAGACGGGGGTGAGCCGCAGTCAAACACGAAATTACCCAAAATTCACAAAAAGAGAAAGAACAAACACTCACAGTCACACACACACAGAAGAAACAAGTAAAACAAAGTCTTTCCTGACACAAAGAGGCCAAACAGTGCACTCAACTTATTGTCCCACAGGCAAAACATCACCTCTATTTTGGTCGAAAGTCATTAAAAAAAAAAAAAACGTAAATCCTCATCACCATCAAGGACTAAAGGGACAGCTCTAAATTGAGTGCAGTGTTAAGCCTGGATCATTCATAGTATTAGTATTGTGATGGAAAACAAATGTTACATTTCATTTATCTGTTGTTCATAAACAACTATGCCAACATATCATATTAAGAAGATAGATCAGATTTTATAAGAAAAGAAAGTAAAATTCCTTCAAAAAGGTTGAAAAAACAACATTAAGGTTGATCAGGTCCTGTTGTTGCTCCAATGTGAAGTGCAAGCAAGAAGACAGTGGTGAAATTAAAAGGATCATTTCGATGTTGTTGAAGTTGGGTTCATGATGTACCTATGTATAGTCAGTCTACAGTAGATGACAGTCCGCTGACCCCAAGTTATTCTCTCTCCGAAGACACCAGACTCCATTGACGTAAACAGTCATTTGACCTTAAAGGCCACAGGAGTTGCTGTTCTACCTCGATCCGTTAGTTTGTTTGTGTTATCGGTGACCACAAACAATCTAACCTATTAACACAATGGTACATTTTACATTTTAGTTTTTCTGTGAGGTAAAAAAAAAAGGTTTTTGTAAATGGTGTCTGGTGGCTTGAAAGAGGGAATAGATAACGGCTTTAGTTATTTGAACGCCTTTCTATAAATGTCTAAAATATGTTTTGCTGCTGCCCGCTTTCAAAGCAGAACGGTGATTACCTTTTGCGCCGTAACTTCTGTCTTCTTCCAGAAACTGGTCATCTACTGTAGGTAATACACTCACTATGGATAAGTACATCATCAAACCACACCTAAAAACCATCGATTTGAGAACTTCAACATTTGTTAGCTTCGTCTGTTCAGGGCCACTGCTAGGAGAGGAACACCGTTAGTGTGTGAGGTAGTGAGAGCTTACCTCTGGCACACAGGAAGCACCAGCCCACGTTGATAGGGGACGAGAGGAGGCCGTTCTTCTTGGCGCTGCCGTGGCTGCTGCAGATCATGATGTGATGGGTGAGGGCGACGCTGCCTGCCGCCACGCAGCCGTCTCCCGTGTGATAGGCTACCGGACAGCGGATACAGCGCATCAGACGACCTAGAAAGGAGGCAGAGGACGGGGACATTTGTTCAGCTTCTTATCATTGAGTCTGCACACAACAAGTGGAAAGTTATTTTGAACCCGTCACTGCGTCACGTAGCTGTGAAACTGTGCAGCACGCACAGATCTGTGAAGAGATTCAATCCCGTCACTGCAGAGTTTTAATAATGGAGGACTGATTCTTTATTTTTCAAGCTGTTATCTAAGGAAACCAGAAGAAAACGTTATACTTTTTTGTTGCCCAAGACATTCAACACTCAAATGGTTTAAATATAGTTTTTTTATCTCCTTGCTTTATTCTACATTAAAAATGAATAACATGGTTCAACATTGAACATTCACACTTGTGATGTTTTGGACAATGGTTCCCTATCGAGGGGTCCTAAAGGTCACAAGATAAATCTATAAGGGGTGGGAGATGACAAATGGGGCCGAACAGAAGATAACACTAGATTCACAAATAAATATTTATCATTGGACTCTTTTACCTCAAGTATTTTTGTGTGAAATATTTGACACGTTTGTAGGCCTAAACACTTACATTAACCTCTTTAGTGTAACTCACATCTACAATGGAACAAGGGGCAACACATAAACATATATATTTTATAAGGGGTCACAAGGCCAAACAGTTTGGTTAGATATATTCTGAATGATTGAATTACAAGTTAGTTTATCTTTATCACTATGCAAATACGCATGTATATTATCCGTAGGTAGTTAGTTCAAGTAATAGTTCAGTCAGTATAACAACATCAACGCTGCCTCGTGCCAAAGGTAAAACATTTAGTTGATGGTGTCAGAGTGTGACACATTTCTCTAGTTACATTTCGGCATCTCCCCATTTTAGGGTTGTTTTAAGCCACAATATACCGGAACTCTGTTGCAAACAAAGTGCACCACTTCTCTTTTTCAAACATTACCAGCAAGACAAGGCACAATCATCTAAAGACATTTCAAGGAACACGTCAATTACTTTTTTTCTCAAATTGTCTTCAGTCTCCAGATGCCTCTCGCCTCAAACTAAATGGAGCCATTTTAGTTTACCGGATGTTTGTAGCAGGACTGTCACCAAATATTCTGCAGGATATGCAGTGTAGCCCTTTTATGTCCCGTCTTTCTCAAAACCATCTCTTTCACAATGTATTTATTTTGCACTTCTCCCTCACATATAAAAGGGAAGTAAAGCCTTGACCATTGCACTCATTATTTTAGCTTTTTTCCTATTGCTTTTATTAAAAAACATCAGCTAAGTGGCCTAGCGTGTAATGGGAAATGTCGTTTTGTTAGTCATTTTCTTCACACTCCACTGCAGACTCAAACAGGAAATCAGACATTGTTTACCTTTACTCGCCCGCTGCAGGTCTCTCTCCAAGCAGCAGGTAGAGCAGCTGTGCTGAGGGCAGCAGAAGCCCCCTTCCGAGCTGATGGTGGTGCCCGGGAGTTTACGCACACAATCCTCGTGGTAGTAACAACCGCAGCCAGACACGGAGCAGCGCGTCACCTCCTGGCCCGCCGCTTTACAGCTAAAACAAGAATGATTGCCTAGAAAAAGAGTGAGAGGGTGTTAGCACGGAGCAAAACACAGCAGATCTGACACAGTGAATATTATTCTGTTCGCTCACCATTTCTGCATTCCAAGCAGGTGAACCTGCCTTCAGGTAGGGACGTCAGACCGAGACAGTCCAGGTGAAACTGTCGGCCACAGTCCCCTTCACACACCACCAAACCCTCTCCGTACACCTCGCAGATCTACACACACACACGGAAAAAGATGATTTCTATAACTGAACACCTGTAGGATTTTAGAGAGAACACCAGATGAGTGATGTGCTGACCTGGCAGACGGTGTCTCTCTTGCCGGTGCTGCCGTCCTGGCGGGACAAGCCGGAGTCCACAGACTGAGTGTCTGAGGCGTCTGCATCTGCTGCTGCTGGACTGTCAAGACTTTTCCCAAATAAACCCTGAAAGGCGAGAAAACAGCAATCAGAGGCCATGCCAATGTTTTTAACTGTCCTTTTTCCTACCTATAGTACAGAACCCCAAAATATTTTGGAAGTAAACCAGAAAATATTCACATTTTAATAGCGGGAAACACCAATTTTTGTGTGAAATTTTTTCATTTGAAAAAGCATTCACGACAGATCAAGGGTCTTAGTTGCAGACCCAGCGCCAGAACAAATCTACAGAGGGCATATGATTTTCATGGGACGGCACACAAAACCGTCATGTGCCGCGGCCAGTGGCGGCGCCAGAGAATTTATTTTGGGGGTGCTGTGGGGTAGCTGCATAGAGGGTGCTCAAACATGTAGGGTTTCCCACGGCGCCAGGTCTGCTTAGTTGTGATGACTATAAAAAAGTGATATTGATGAAAATGCACAAATTATCAAGAGAAATACAGTATTGTCTTCTTGATTTCTAGGCCTACCTGTGGGTCGTTGAGGCCTCTGGAGTCAGAGTCAGAGGTGTCTCTGTACTGAGAAGAAGTCATCTCCACATCTGTCGACGCTCTGCTTCGCTTTTTCAGAGGTTTGCAGGCGTCTGAGATCTCACTGGCTCCTAAGAAATTCATAAAGATGAGCAATAAAAAAAGGTTTTATAAAGTAAAAAGAGTTCCAACCACAGGGGTTATACAGGAAGCATGAAGGAAGGATTCCTTACCTTTCTGTGAACCTGTCCTCAGTGTCGTCTCAGGAGCCATCTCAGCCTGAGACAAGAAGTGCAGGTTAGTGTGGTGCTGATGTCGACTCAACAGTATTGTAAAAAAACTAATTATTTTATATAAAAAATAAACTCTTTAAAAAAGGTATAAATCAGTTTGACTTATCTGAGTCATGTTCCGATTTTCTATTTTTAAATATTTAATAGTGTTTCAATCTCAAAACCCTATATCTTCGATATAATCTGTTTAATATATATCTGTGAATGTACATTCAAATCATTTTATTTGATTCAAAACAGAAATGAGCATTGACATAAAATATAATGCTTATGAAAAATGTACCATAACTATTAGCCACATCCCCTTGTGTTTTTATAATGGGGAGCTGTTTTTAGTCTGAACACTAGGTAATCTGCAGAGAACCTTTACCTGCTCTTTTTTGGTTTTCTTCTTGGGGACGGGATCGTTGGATCTCTCCGACTCGGACCTGCTTCTGACCGACCGCCGCTGCAGCTTCCGCTCCTGAGAACCTGAAAACACATGAAGGTATTGAGCTGTATCTGTTACTGACTTTACAAACTGCAAGAAAACACACACACTGCACGTCTGTGTTTTACCCACCATGTGGACTGCTGTGGTGTGATCCAGGAGAGGAGGTCGGCTGCGTTCCTCCCTCCTCACTCCTCCGACTGGCGGGGGATTCTCTCCTCTCCTCCCCCTCCTCCTCCCCTTCGTCCCCTTCTTCCTCCTCCTCCGGACTGGGCTCAGGTTTAGCTCTGCTGTCCTGTTGAATGCATCAAAATGATTAATTTGCTTACAGGACACCTCAGGATGAAATGTTCCTATCTGCATGAGAAACACCAACCTCCGGTGAGCAGTAACCCAGGTCAGGCTGCCGGGCCTCTCCCTCCACTATCTCCTCCTTCTCTTCTTCTTCCTCTTCCTCTTCCTCTTCTTCTTCTTCCTCTTCCTCTTCCTCTTCTTCTTCTTCTTCTTCAACGACGACTTGCTCTTTTTTGGGAGATGGAGCTGCTTTTTTCTGCAGGAGAGGCCAATCGCACTTTGTGATCTCCACGTTCAGCCTCTTCATGGTGATGGAGAGAGGCAGCAGCTTCCTGGCCGCGGCTGTTTTCCAGGCCCTCACTGGTGGCGGCGACTCCTGCCGCTCATCGTTCTGTTTCGGGGAGCTGCTCTTACGCTGGTCGTCCCTCTGGTTCTTCTCCTCATTTGAGGCCGGGGATTTTGTGTGGTCTTCTGTGTTTGAAACACTACACTGTCTGCGTGGCAGCAGCCGTCGTGTCGGCTGCTCTCTTTCTGGTGACTTTACCGCTCCCTCTTCCTTCTTACTGATTGAACCGCTGGAGCGCCGGTTTCGTTTCTCAGCTCTGTAGGTGGGTTTCCTGCTGGACGTGCCTTCATGAGGGTCTGGGTCAACATAGATGAAGGTGTAGTTGTCAGTTCGCTCCTGCCGCGACATCAGGAGGGCGTCCTCGGCGTGCCCCACACCCACCTCCCACTGAGAACGCTCCCGCTGAGGGATGGGCTTCAGAAGCTGGAGAAGGAAACATCAAGAAGAAACAACATTGTTAAAACTACTATTTTTTCACATCTCATACCGCTGTACAGAAACCTATATTTTACATTATGTGTATGCATTTCTGGATGCGTTTTATTCTTTTAATTTACACATGATGGACATTATTAACAATAATTTCCTCAACCAAATATGCTTGAATAATTGATTTGTTAAAATTCTACAAACATACGTGGGATAATCCTGAAACAGTGCCATTATTTACTTGGCACTTTTTTATTAAATGTGAAGAATTGAATTGCTTCATTTAATTAACATTATGATATAAAATATGCAAGTAATTCAATAGGAATGTCTCAGTGAATGGAAATGGTGGTTCGGAAAAGGGATCTTCAAATTGTTGTACAACAAAATTGCTGTTCGATGAATATATTAATTAAAATCATTTTGATGATCAATTATTAAATTCAATTATACAGTAAATAGGGTTTTCTGTGACTGTAATACAAAAATGATAAAGAGCTACTACCGGTAGTTATTTTTATGATAGAATTATATACAAAACATTTTTTTTGTGTGTTAAAAATAAATGGTGTTATACATGTTATATATATTTTTATCCAAGGAAACTTGACTTGCTTAACGTCAATTTTTAAAAAGAGCATAGTTTGATGATTTCAATGCCTACATAGCCTCTGAAAAAGTATGGAGTTTTTATAAGGGATTAATCCAACATCATTTGTAGGCGTTTGTACGTACTTTGTGTTTCTCTACAGGATTTGTGGCTTTTCGCAGAGTGTCAGCCTGAAGGTCTTCATACTGTTTCTTCCCCTGGTACAGGACTATCCTCTTCTCGTGGATCCATGCTCGCTCAGCGACACTGCCAAAGAACTGGACGTGATACTCTCTGTGACCTGCACACAAACAGAGCGAGGGAAACAGGTTGTGGTTTTTGTCCTCACGCATTCATACACTTGTGAAAGACAAACCGGTCTGTACCTCTGGTGTTGATACGGGTGTGGACCTTCATCTGCGGGTCAGAGGAGATCATGCAGGGCCACCAAGGGTAGGTGCCCACCTTGGACCACACCAGATCTCCGATCACAAACTCCTTACAGAAGCCTGTCTCTTGGATCACTGATGGATGATGGACCTTCGGAACCTAAAGAGAAACATGAACAAGTCAGTGATGTGCTTTAAAATGTCTAAAATATTCTACAATCTACAGTAATTGGTGTTCAGAGCATTCAAACTGCTGTGGAGAGCAAACAGTCATGCTCTTGCCTTGGGCATCTTTGGTTCAGTTTTGATGACGGTCTTCTGAGGCTTCTGTGTCTGGGCTGGGGGTGTTTCTGTGGGCGGGGGCTCCATGTGGATGTCCTCTGTCTGCTCTGTGGTACCTGACTGTGCTTGGCTCTGTTCCAGGTTCTGTTCCTGATCCTGGACCTGGACCTGCAGCTGCAGCCGCGCACTCTTTTTCCTCTTCTCCTTCTTCCTCTCATGTCTGCGCTGCATCTGAGTGGCCTCGCTCTTCTGAGACTCATTCTGAAGGGAAGATAGAAGAAACAAAAACAGTAGTAAGAAATCAAGTACATTTTTGTTTTTGTACATAAAAAGGTAACTCAAAGCTGGATCCATCCGTCTTCTGAAATCAAAACCATCTCAGATATCCAGTTCTTAAGAGAATTAAAAGTAAACCAAAAAACACACACTGTAACAATTCCATTTGAATTTCATTGGGCCAGATTATAATTTTATTTACTATGTGAAATTCTTCTTCTGTGGTTGCTGTTGTTTGAATGAGCTGAAATAAATAATCTATGAAGCTGGTGCCAGCCTCTAAAATGTGTGCATTTTATTGTACAAGAGTAAGCTTAATATATTTTAGTAAATAACTATTTTGACAAAGAGAGCCATTTTAATATTTACCTCAGACTTGAGAAGATGACAAAGTATTTGTTAAATCATTTAAATACTAGGTACTTTTAGCACAAATTGTAGGTAAATTCAACTTTTGGTTCCACCTGTCCAAGGTTTGGGAATTTTATTGCAATTTCAGATTGATAAATTAACGTATCTTTTAGGAAGTTATCTATGAACAGGGTTATTATATATACTACAAAACATAAAATGCAAAAATGCTCAATCGGCACCGCAGTAGGATAGCAGAGGTTATTCTCTCCAATGGTTTTATTAATGTACTACTTATTTCAGGGTTTATGCTCTAAATGTCATGCTTTTGCTCATGATGTTGATCGCGGTCAGTTGTGAGACCTTTGATGATTCGAGCTGTGAGGTGCACACATTACCTGCAGTTCTTGCAGCAGCTCTCCACACAGCGCAGACTCAAACAGCTCTTTCCCGTTCTGATACGTCTTAATGATCTTCAGCTTGATCTCTGGAGAGCTGGTCTTCTTCAGCACGCCCTCAGGAGTGTTGGACAGGGTGAGGGAGGGCTGAGAAGAAGGGGTACTGTCCACAAGGGAGGGGGGCGGACTGGAGGAAGGCAGGATTAATGGGGGAGGAGGTGGGAGAGTGTGGGTCATGATGTGAGGCGTATGGGGCATGTGGTGCTGGGAGGGCAGAGGGGGCGGCGGGGGACTCTGTGGGTGGGGGTGGTTCTGTAAAAGAGGCGGGTTCGAGTGAAAGAGGTGCGCGTGGTGCTGGAGATGAGGGGTATGGTGGTGGTGGTGGTGGTGGTGGGGGTGTGGGTGATGTGTGGGCAGAGGGGGGGACACAGGAGACAAAGGTCGCTCCTGAAGACCTGGGCCTCTCAGGACCGTCCCCTCCCCCGGCAGGAGACCGTGGTCTGCGTAGCTCCGTATGGCCCCGTAGCCGTTAGCCGAGCCGTTGGGGAACTGCGAGTACATGGAGAACTTGGACTGCGGCTCGTACATGCCCAGACCGGGGGGGTAGCCGTTGGAGACCTGCGACATGTCCTCCGAGGCGGACGGCGGGTAGGAGAACTCTGCATCCAGGGCAGCATCGTAGGAGGGACCACCATCCTCGCCTGGATCACTGCCGGTGTCGCAGGTGCCTTCCTGTCTGATGTTGGCGGAGTCAATGAGCTGAGGGGGTTGCTGAATTGTATTTCCCATGATCCCTTGCATGAAAGAGAAGGAGAAATCCATTGTTGGGCTCCTGCATCCTTAACTGTCTTTTTCTTTGACTGGACCTGTTGACAGATAGAAATCAGACACAGGTGTGAAGCAAACCGGACAAAGGTAGACTATCATTAAATCATTACTGTTTACTACAGGGTTCCCACACCATCTTAAACATTACTTTCAAGAACCCAGCAAGGCATCGTTTGAGACACTGATCAATGTTACCGTTTGTGACCAGAGAGTTTTTATAATGAGAACTAGCAGGCTGAACAGAAGCTCACACGCAACAATTAAAAAGAGAGAGGCTGGTGGTGTGTTACAGCGATGGCAGACTGTGTGCTCTCTTGCCTTCTGTAACACATCAAAACAATATAATGTGCAAGGTGAGAGATAGCAAGAGAGACTATTTTACTAATTGAAGAGCTAAGCAACTTACATTTCTATTATTGCACAATATTTATAAAATCAAGAACTCTATTTTTATTAACTTACAAGGTTTTAATTTTCCTTTCATTTTGATAACTTTCAAAGGATTTCCCTAAGCCCTAATGTATAACATTAAGCACCAGCTTGACATTACTACATCAAATCTGCTCTCTGCACTCTGTATGGACAGGGATCCTCCGGCTGACCCTGATTTGCTCTGGGTCAGTGTGTTTTAGGCACTTAAATTAAACATAAATGTATTTCGGAATGTGTCATTTAGTATGATCAGATAAAAAAAAAAGGGAGAATATAAAACTAAGACAGGGCCTTGATATAAGATGAAACTGCAGGCCCAGTGTGTGTGAAAAAAAAATGTGTGTGCACAACAAATACATGCAACATCCCCGGTTTGCTTCCAGCCAAGGACCTTTGCTGCGTGACATTATTAATATGTCCTGTCTGAATCTAAACTGTTACATAATCTGATAGGAGGCAAACTTTTCCAAAGAATTCAGTTGACAAATAATGTAACACTATAACATCGTTATGGTGCTTATTTACGACCAAATATGCATGTGTGGCAAATAATTGCCTTCCAGGGGATTGGGGAATTTTGAAAGTTTTACCATTTCAGAGCTCTAACTATTTATCTAAAGTAGGAGCCCAAAGAAACTCCCAGGGGTGTCTGAATGTTAGTAGACAACACGTGGATATTTCTTTGTATTGTATTGTCAAACACGGGCTACATGTAAAATGAATCTACATTGATCTTGGTTTTCACATATTTTATAATACTCCGTAATATATGCGAAGATATTCTACAGATTTTGGTCACCAAGGTAAGAACAAAACTAGGCAAACAAGCCTTTATATACAGTGCCGCATCTTCCTGGAAAATGTACAGAAGAACTGAAACTATCAGAGCCGAATACGAAGGCCAAAATGTTAATGATTGTGAAATTAGCCATGTTGATCATTGCTTTCTCTTTCACTGAATTCACATTAGAAGTTATACCTTGTATGCATTAAAACAGTTTTTTTGTTACTGGATTGGATGTGCTTACTCATTTGTAGTGTGAGAAAGTTGTTTTGTCTCTTGGTCTCGTTTGTGTTTATTGTTGTAACACTGTTTAGATTGCTTTCTTGGCCCTTTAAAAAAAAGCCTTTAAACTCAATCACTTTACCTGGTTAAATAAGGGGTGAATGTAATCTCTTTCTAAAAAGTGGACAAATCCCTCATCTGAGAATCACAATCAATCATCTTAAACTTAGGCCATCAACAAAATACTAAACAAATTCCAAGCAGCTCGTATTAACGATAGAGACATGTTCCTCTTCTATAGCCAATAACCAATCACCTGTGAAGTGAATCTGTTCCAAGCTATTTAATTAACCTTTATGAGTGTTTTTATTTAATCAACACAAATACATGGTGGCCTGCTATCCCAAACAAAACAAAGAGCAGCTACCAGTGCCTGCTTCATTATCTTACACTGGACACTCTTAACATATTGCTTTTGTAATCAGGTTAAAAAGGTTGGAGCTTGCAGACTGAATTAATTAATCCACTGATTGTGGTTTAATGTGTGACCACTCAGCCCAGCGGTGGCAAAGGTGGATAACGGTGATGTAAACACCCATAAAAAGGTGTCAACTAACAGTCACTAGCTGTCTATAACGACTTGTGTTATTATTTTAGGGTTCATGTGTGAAGTGGTAAACATACCTGCTTCAAAACGACTGCGCAGACAAAACATGTTTCACTGAATGATCTTATAGCTTTCTGCGATGTTAGCCTGAAGCTACCTGCCATCAAAAGCTAAGGGATTGTGTTAACAAAAAGATGTGGACCATTTTAACCGAGAGAAAACAAACACGAAACCGGGGGACACGACCGGTTGTCATTGTGCACACACGACTAACTGTCCCCATCCGTTATTTGTTATCCGTTAATGTTCTAAACACATGGAAGAAGATGAAAGGAGAAGCTAATGGTGGCTAGGCTAACGGTCCATTGCCAATATGGCTGCCTTTGCCCCTTTAAATCATATTGTCTGGCGTGATTATACCTCCATAACTGTCGGTTTGGAGATAAATGTGCCTGAAAATAATATAGCTGCGACCCTCTAAAACATTGCAAGAGAGTGAGGGGGGGACAACCACAATATGGCAAACATGTCGCTAAAGAGGAGAGCAAAGGAGCAGCACAGATTTTGATGCCGAGTCGAGGGATGCAGGAGAATAATATAATTAAAAAAGAAATATCAATACCTTCAGCGAGTCCCATTCTAAACACATACACCAGCCAGCAACGGGTCCTCGTTTAATATATATGGAGTAAAAGGGGGAAAAGCCTGTAATTTAGATAAAGCGCAGGCCTTTTCCTTTTCGTTTTAACGCAATTCTCTACAGAGAGGAGGAGGGGTTGTTACGCTATCTGGTCGCTGCCCAATCCCAAAGCCTGGCTCTTCTTCCTCAATGTAGGAGCATTTAGTAGAGACAATGCTTCACGTAGATATGTTTAATTCTCTCCCCCTCCACTGTGCAGTCTTCTTCTAAATGTTATGATATTAATTATCATCTCTAGCTCCCTCTTCCTTTGGTTTAACAAAAGCACACTGCTTTTATTTTTTAGTCCAGGCCTGGTGGTCGGTCTCTTCTGCAGCTCAGCGCCAAAATCTCACGGACCGGAGGGGTTACGAGGAGCACTCCGGGATGTGTAGTTCACTTGTGATGGCAGCTACTTTCAAAGGAAAAATATGTTAAATGTTTCATACTTGTCACACCTACACTGATATTAAACAGGGATTTCATGTGTCATGTCGGGAGGAAGACAATGTAAACATAATAAACAAATAAAAAAAGAAACTGTTTGCACGTTTTATTTTCAATAGTGTCATATTATTTAAGAATAAAAGGTGTCAAACAGAAGTGCACTAATAATAGTTGTGATTATTGTATTGCACCCTGATCACACAACGCGATGCAGATGCTGTGGTTACGTTTGCACCAGCGCCTCTGATTGGCTTTTATACGCCTCCTCGCCTGATCAGTAGCTGAGAGGAGGGCCACATTAAAGACGTCTCACTCTGACTCGTATTCCTGGTTCCACATTTGTTGATCCACAGTCTTCATTTGTGGGCAACACATAGCTTTTTGGACAATCTTTCAGGCTTTTAAAACAAAAATACAACACTTTAAAAATGTAGCTATTATTATTAGCTAATAAAGCACGTTGACAACATTATTGACAAAAATACAACCGTTGATCTTTATTTGTTATACTTTTGTTTATGACAACGTTTATTTACTTTATTATATACAGAGCAGCTACGACACAATCTTTAACTATTTAGTTTAACAGTTCATGGTCAAAGAAGACAAACAACTTCATTAAAGAGAGGGGACTGATGCATAAAACATTTTTAGTCTGCTTTTTTCAACTACGGCAGCAAAAGAGTGAATTGCAATATCCATACAAATAAAGAAAGTATCTTAGCTTTTCTGATCCAATGCAAGCACATTAAAGCCCATCGCAAGCTCTGTGGACTTACCTAGATAGAGAACGTGACAATTGATCCTGATATTTGGCTTGATGAACACAAATACAAAAGGTACAAGACATATTGGCTTCAAATCAAATTTGAGTGATTCTCAGCAAATGTTTCTTATAACAAAATCATTAGAAAACCAGAGGATGTCTGGTCAAAACATACACTGCAGGTGACATATTGTATTTCTGGTATTTCTAGTGTAAGTGGCCAGTGACCACAACACAAAAATCCAGCTATCCCTTGGAAAAAACTGTTACCTAATGTGTTGCAGAAAAAAGAATACTGAACAACTACTAAAACTAGGTAGGCCTACTATCTGAATGCAAAATGCAAAATGATTCTGAATGGCTTTTTCTAAACAAAAAACTGTATATATTGTCTTATAGTTATGTTATACAGAATATAAACTTTAAACACAATATATATATTATATATATATATTATATACAGTATACGATAAATGCTTACACATGTAAAAAGTATAACATAAGTAGCATTCATTTTCCATATCTCCAGCACTGATGTACAAAATATAAGATCAGAGTAGAGAATGGAGAATATTTGATACTTAAAGTGGACCTATCATGCTATATTTAAATGATATATTGTAGGGCCATACCTATATAAGGTATATTTATACGTTTCTGTTTTCAAAATACCAAACAGATCATGCATTTTAGCCATGCCTCATTTCGCTCTATGTGCTGTTTGCTGTCTACGGGGCTGATTCTGTGAGTTGCAGCTGACCACGCCCCCCTGCAGGAGATGGGAGCGGTGCTCTGATCAAGTCAAGAGGGGGAGAAAAAAAGATCTCCGTCCTCCGTGTTTTATTATATTATTATAGGCCTATAGAGTCGTTATTCATTTGTTTTAAAGCTCAATAAATAACCTTTGACCGGCACTTTTCTAATTTTGTCCGGAAGATTTAAACTTTAACGGACATCTTGACCAGCGAAAGAAACTGAAACTGAAACTCTGCCGCACGGTCCCCTCGTTCCTTGGAAGAGGCGGAGAGGTGGGTGTTTGTCATCTGCTGGTGGACTAACCAGAGAGAATTACAGTGCTTGCCTCGACGGGGAGGGATTGCATTGAATTAAAGCAGCGGGAGCAAACGCTTGCCTCGGGGAGGGAGAAAAAAAGCCACAGCGGAGAATAAACAGAAGGGTAACCATGGTAACTATGGGCGGGAAGTCTTCTTCGCTGCTTTTGTGGCAGACTACAGCGCCACTTACAGGCCTGGCATATGTACTACAGCGTCTCCAGCGCTTTCGAGCGGCAATGGCCGGCCGTGGCCCAACCCCACATTCCCCTGATAGGTGGAGAGTTGGCCCAATAGCCGTAGCGCCACTTCTGTGACGTCAGTGAAGTGTTCAAATCTGGATCAGTTTTTATCAGATCCGTTGCAGCCCCTTTTTTTGAGATTTGGGTATGGAGGAAAATAGAGAGGGTTGTGTTTTTTGACACTTGGTGAGTTCCCTGGAACACCGGGGACACATATTCATGTATAAAAGACGTACACAAGTGCATTTTGCATGATAGGTCCCCTTTAAATAACCCTCAACTCCAATTATTAATTTTCAATATTGGTACAGACTATAGATAAAATAGTTCAACAAAAACAGTGGTGGCAAGGAGCTAGATTTACTCAAGTACTGTACTTAAGTACACTTTTGATGGACTTGTCTTTACTGTAGTATTTACATTTTTTGCTGTACTCTTACTCCACATGTCAGAGGTAAATTGTGTACTTTTACTACTACACTTATTAAAATGGGCGGCGTGTGGCGTTGGTGTTCGGATCAGGGGAGCACAGGTTCAAACCCCACTGCAGTCAGCATGTGGTTGTGTCCCTAGGCAAGACACTTCACCCCAAATTGCTCCTGTGGGGATTGTCCACAGTATTGAGTATGTAAGTCGCTTTGGATAAAAGCGTCTAACAAGTAACATGTAATAATGTAATGTAATTAAATACCTTTATTTACTTTGCAGATTAAAATTAATCTTGTGAAATATAATCAAGACTTTAGTTACACCTGGAGTAAATTCACAAGCTAACCTGCAGTAAACAAAGTAATTAAACACATTTATACGCTTTGATTAACATATTAACGCATCAATTATAATTATCAAAACATATAAAATATATTATTCTGAAATGGACCAATCTGCATAATGAGTACTTTTACTTTTGGTAGTCTATGTATATTTTGATGCCCACACTTTTATTTGAGTAACACTTTTGAATGCACGACATTTACTTGTAAGTACAAGATCTGAGTACTTCTTCCACCTCGGCTCTGACCATAAATAAGTGGGAAAGATTTAAAATGAATTAAATTATTATTTGTAAACCACGTAGTGAGTCATCTTTACACATAGAGGATCTTCGGTTTGGACGCACACAACATTCACGCATGTGTACAGTGTGACCTTTCAGTGCAGCTGCCTGGGGAAGGCTGCACGACAAGAGTTGACGGGCCTGGAGCTCAAACACGACGACTTTTACCGTGTAAAACCTCCGTAAATGGGTTTATCACCACACCAGCCCTTACTTTCATCGCTCCCGTTTACCTCGACCGATTGTTGTGGATGGATTATCTTATTAACCGTCTCACCGAGAAGCCTTACTACGCCCAGTCAGCAGCGGCAGCCATAGCTCCGTCATTGACGCTGGAGGTTAGTGGGCTCGTCATCCGCAGACTGCCATTTCACCAGCAGTGAGCTAACAGGCTAGGCTAGCGGAGGCTTCATGGCTAATGGAGAATTCACTAGCATGATGCTAATGTTAATCTTAAAGTACTGGAAGAGGTTTCTACAGAACTAATATTTTGATATTCAAAGATATTGGAGATATATCATTTTCTGGTGACACATAGCTAACGTGAGTAGGAATTTATCAACAATGATTTCCTCCTCAGTTTAGCATTACCATTTATAAAGCTAGCATAACAGTGGCTGTGTGATTTAACCTGACGCTAGGCAACATGTCAATTTTATGTGGAGTTATATCCAAATGTGTATAGATGAATTAGATTATTGGTTTGTTTTAACTTTGAATTAAGCCGGTGAGTCTTACATTGTCCGGGTTAATATCTGTCAGGTTAGTAGCGAGCTGTGCTGCAGTTGAGTGGTTACATAATGTTAGCTTAACTGCTGTCCGTCTGCGCTAATGCTAATGTTTTATATCATATCATGTTTTGCATGGTTAACAGTTCATTTGCACAGCATACTTTATGTAATGAGCCTGTTTTAGCAGCAGACTGTATGTGAGAGGACATGTTTAACTGCTTGTTGTATTTTTCCAGTCAGCCTGTTGTCGGACCATGCCGGTGTAACATGAAACCAATACGCCCTCTCTCTTTCTCCCTGTCTCCATGTGTGCCTTTAACAGAATATTGCAATCTGCCCCTGCAATGGCCGTCTTTAGTCACCAGGTGCTTCTTGCAGTCACAAGATCAAGGTAAGAAAATGAATATCCTGTAACTAAATAACTTTATGAAATGCAGAAATGTTTAATTTCACAAAGTGGATTGACAGCAGTTACAACTATTGGATCCTCTGTGCTGTGTTCAAGTCACTAGAGCTTAAGATGTCTGTTTACACAGTGCATGCTGCAGACAGTGAGGCCTACTCAATGTGTCTCATGACACATACGATGTAAACACAGGACTACATTGGTTTCTACTGATGATGCAAGATCTGACACTGCTTTGTCCTCACTTTCATCCCATTTTCTCATGAGCATAGTCAGTCTGTTGCATAATGTTAAATGTCAAAGTTAGCAACTTGTCAATTTATGCAGCCTAGACGAAATATACCAACTGAGACTTTGACATGTATTCTATGTTAGCTATACTTTTATTTATTTTAATTGAGCCACAATTCCATTATCACAATTGTAGTAATAGGATTCTTGCAACAAGTAACTTTAGTAGTTAATATGTTTTAAGTCTTAACCCTGCTGATACATAACTCTACAAGTGGTTTAAGAGTTATATCTATCTACACCAAACCTTAGCACAAATG